CTGAAGTAGGATTTGTCAATTTTGAAAAACAGACAGAAGCAAATTTACATAAATACTTTTCCTCTGACGACCTGGACACAGAAATAAATAGATGTGTAAATACGGAAATAAATTAATCACTCAATTAATGTGGAAATGTATGCATTGATACATATATAACTGTAGAAATACGCTAATAAATGAATAAATACATGTAAAAATATATAAATAGCCTTTTTCATTCACAAAGTGTATTTATTATTTATTCATTGGTGTATTGTTTTCAGCATTTATATATTTATTGATGCATTTATTTAATTATTTATTTATTTATTTATACTTTAGTTATTTTTTGTCCCTCATACTGTACGAGTTATAACACAATATAAAAGTAATGTTAAAAAATGTTTGTGTATTTTGGGGGGTCCCAGGCTGAAGACTTTGGGAACCCCTGCCCCTAAACTCGAGGTGAAAGCTGATATTGTCTCCATGCATCTGCAGTGAAGCTCTGCAGATCTGCAGCATGAACAACTGAAGGGTACATTCTCCTAGAGGCCAATAAAAACATTTGATATCACGTCCCACACATTTCTAAACCCCCCTCCAGTCGTACCAGTCTCCCTGTCTGACAACCATATTAAGAAACATTTAAAACGAGCAGCGAGGAGCACTCCAAGTCGCTGCCATTTTTGTTAATTCTCTCCAACGCTCTCTCAGCTAAAGCAACACGTTTTGTTTGAGTTCATTTGAGAACACCCAATTGAATCTTATCTTTGTTTGAATGTGAATCTAAACTTCACTTGATCCCGAATGGAGCAGAACAGACATATTAATTTAAGTATAGCATAAACAGCATGAATAGTTTTGACTTGTAGCTTTAATCTATCTTTTGTAAAATTAGATTTATGTGTTGTTATGTGAGCAGAAGATGGCTGTATGGATACCAACCTTGTGTGTTTGTTAAGTCCCACACAAGCTGATCTCTGGATGTCATTAGCCTAGCTTAGCATAAAACCCAGAGGAAGGAGATACAGCTAACCTGTTTTTTCTACAAAGTGAAAAAAGCATGCTAACACCACTAAGCAAACTAATAAGCATGCAAAAATGTTTGCCAAGCTAGGCATACCTCATACTATCTTGCCATTCTCTGCACATACTGTCTCAACTCCCTGCATAGTTAACTTCATCATTAATTGTGTACTTGTATATACCCCCTGTTTTTATTCATCTTATCTTATCTATTCTGTTTAATGTGTATTTTGTATTTTGAGTTTACTTGTCTGTGCTGCTGCAACGCCACAAATTTCCCCTCTGGAGATCAATAAAGTATCATCCTATCCTATACAGATTGATGCACAGGGCGGTCTATACTCTGAAATCGTCAAACAATTGTTATGTGCAGCTTATTCCAATTCAGTTCTGGTGTCGGTAAATGTAAAAATATGTGAAAGTCAAGTCTTTAGGGGAAAATGTTATCCCTTGGCTTTAAGTGTGTTTGATGGTGATTGAATATCTGCCTGAACGTGTCACTGCGTCTAGCAGGGGCGTTGCTTGTCAACAGGCAAGGACGGCAACTGATTGGGGCCCCAGGCCAGAAGGGGGGCCCTCAGGGTCTGTTAAAATGTTAAACCCCAGCTGTGACTCAAAATGTGCAAAGTTTGCAATGACAGAAACCTCCCTAAGGTGGCCCCGTCTGACGGCCAATCTGTGGAAATCTATGTTTTCCAATGACAGTCAGCAGAGGAGAGTAATTGTTTTTTATATCCTCATGTTGAAAATAACACTAATGTGAACTTTCTATGACAATAAAAAAAGTCGTCTGTGTCAGATCATTTGCGACATAACGGAGATGAACGCTGGTTGAATGGGCCCCAACAGACTCCAGAATCACCACTGGTGCCTATAGCGTAAACTTGCAAAGAAAAAAACAGTTCATGACGATGGCGTGATTAAATTAGAAGCGTCAGATAAACGTTTTAATGGTGGACGAAATGAGTCTAAGGTGGAAACTGTTGCCTCTGCCTTTGTATGGTAAATGTTTCATGCAATCACTCCCTCATAAGCCCTTATAGCCGTTTGCTGCAATCCGCCCATAGTTTGGAGTTTTCCCACACTCTCTCTGCAGACTGAAATGATTGGGACTGCAGATAATCACTGTTGTGGAATGCCACCACGCTCTGCAGTGCCACTAAACTCAATGTGTGTGTGAGAGAGTGGCCGTGTGTGTGTGTGTGTGTGTCGACTCGAGAGAAAGAAGCTGAACGAGGAGAGAATCAAAGAGAAAATGAGACAGATTCAAACATGCCCAGGCGTCTCACCTTTCATCCCGACCACGAGGAGTTTGTTTTGGTCAGATCATACAGAACCTTTTTTTTGTTCTCAGAGACTCTGAGCTCTAATATTTGGTTTGGTGGGTGAGTGCTGCTTTCAAGAGAGATCAAGTTTAAAAAGAACCCCGGTAATAAAAAAAAAAAGGTTTCCTCCAGCATGTGTTTCCTTCATTTTTTAGCAAATTTTTTTACAGCCTGTCATCTGATCAGCTCCCCCTCCCCCCCACCGAGAACAATTGGTTTACCAGAAGATCCCAGAGCGCTCAGGCTTCAAATTAAACCAGAACAAACAAACAACAAATCAGGAAACTGTAACTAGAGTCTGCAAATTTAGACAAATCTGGGAGTATAGACGGAGAAGAAAAACTAAACCATGATGCATACTGAAAAATCTCTGCAGCAGAGCCAAAGACAGAAAGACACAAAGTACTGAAAAGCCATTCTGTAGCGGAGGGATTGTTTTTTAAAGGTTGCTTTGTACTTTTTTAAAGACGTCATTTCATCATTTACTTCACTTAGCGAGACCTCAGTGAATGAATACTAAACAAAAAGTAAAAATGTCATTCGCATCCTACAAAACTGAAAGTAATAAAACACTTTTTTTTGATTTAATCTAAAGGGCTAATTATGTAGATTTGATCATTTTTAATAATGTAAATCTTATTGAATCATTTTGCTGCATTATGGTCTCTAAAGTCTAAGTGAGCATCTTCATCTCAAAGGTTATTGTTCATCGCAGAGACCCATCCAGAGAAACATGTTGCACTTGAACACTTTGAACTATGGTTGCACTGCATACAATTCTACCACTAGGTGGTGCCAGAGGGAGGCATTAACAATTCTTAAAAACACCCAGTGTGGGATCAAATGTTGACTTACATCAAGTCATATTCTCCAGATTTCAGACTATCGGTGTGTCTGCAAAAACAAAGAAATAGAAAAGTGTAAAATACAGTCGTGGTGCTTTGCATAAATTGGACTAAATCTTCCTTTTTCCATTTCCCATCTGCACAGCTGTCCCAAGAGTCAGCCTCTAGTTGGACACTTTAATGATCACCTCAATTACTTAAATAGAACCTTTAATTTAATGTCTGCACTGCCTGTTACTTAATGTCTGTTTTTGATAACTCTGCACTATCTGCTTTTTTAAACATTGCTGTACATATATAAACAACACAACTTTTTTATTTTTTATATTCAGGTCTAATTACAGATTTTTTTCCTCAGCTGTTTATAGGTTCTTGTTTTAAATCACACATATATTTTTATCCCTGCACGGGTTTATGTACATTTCTTGTATAAATCTATTTTAATTGCACAGTTTAAGTTTGTTTCATCTAGGGCAGGGGTGGGCAACTGGCGGCCCGGGGGCCACATGCGGCCCCCATCAACCCTCAACGTGGCCCTCAGGTCAATTTTTACATACCAGTTAATTGGAAACATGACAAAATCTGCCATGAAATCATGAAAACCAGAAATATGTCCATAATAATATTTGATCACTGGTATATGTCGAGTTCAATTTGAGACATAATCGACTGTAATCATTTTTGTATCCTACAATTTGGCCCCCTGGCAGTGAGAATTAAATGAATGTGGCCCTTGCTGTGACCAAAGTTGCCCATCCCTGATCTAGAGGGATTCTTTAAATCTTTTTTTCAGGTTAATATATTTATGTATGGGAGGAGGGCGTCAGTTTTGCGGATTCATTTGTAACAAATGTTTCATGTCATGTCTTTGTAACCTGCTACTGGATGCTTTGAATTTTCCTCGGGATCAATAAAGTATCTATTTATCTATCTATCTAAATTAACCTACAATGTAAAGAGTTAAATGTGACATTTCTATTTCATTTTTTAAAGTTAATATACCCAAGTAGGCCTCTGCAATAGTAGGACACATGGAAAGGGAGGACCTGATGGGGCTGCCAGTGGCTGTGTTTGCCTGTAGCCAATTTATTTTTATTGTTTTTGAATGAAGTGTTTTGTTTTGTTTTAATTAATGTTTTGTGAAAGAGGGGCAGATATTATAAGATTAGTCTTCTTTCTGCTACTTTTTCATTTGAGAAAAATTTGAGATTTTATGTTTGTTTTTCTTAACTTTATTGTTTGTTTGAATGAAATAAAATTTACAAATAAAAAAATAAAATAAAAAATATATATAAGGTTTTTAAGTATCAAGTAAATTGCCGTAAAGTAAAGTCCCGCTCAATTCAATTCAATTCAAATTCAAATAACTTTATAACTTTATTTATCCGTTAGAAACTTCATTTGTGTGAAAGAGCATCACAACAACAGAAACACACACATACAAGTGGCTCTATTAAAATAAAATAAATACAAATAATAATAATAATAATAATAAATAATTGTTATAAGCGGTTAAATGAGCGGTTGAATAAGAAATAGATAATTTGTTCATGAGCCTGATAGATGTGGGAGCAAAGCTTGACATGGCTCGATTAGTCCTATTCAATAAGTTATTAAAAATTAAAAATAAATTAATGTTAATAATATAAAAAGCTAATGAGATTTAAAAGTAGACTCTGTGATGTGATAACGAACAAGAAAATCTGTAAATAAGTTGTGGAAAATGTGAAAAATACATTTTCACGCATTTCTACGTACCAATCACGTACGTCCTTACGTCATTGTTGACGCCTCACGCACACGTCCAAGGGGTTAATTGGGGTCACCGTGGATATCCGAAAGTCGACTAGTTAAATGGCCAGTGATCAGGTGAGCCTGTAACCCGGATGATGGTGTCAGACTCTGGCCTCGTCGGTGGAGCTCGCTAGCGCCAGAGGTTTTAAAAAATAAATAAATAAAGCGAAAGATGAGGGCGACCCGGAGCAAACAGAGCCTCCTGCGTGTCTGCGTCCTGACCTCTTTTATTTACCTGCTCTGTTCCACCTGCGCCGGGCACGGACTCATGACCGGAAACAAGATGCTGAAGCGCGGCCGCCGGAGTTACCTGAAGCAGCAGCAGCACCACCGGCCGCTGACGGACGAGCAGGAAGCGGACCAGAACCTGCAGTTCATGTTGAGTTTGTACCGGAGCGCAGCCGAACCGGACGGCAGGCCCAGGCAGCACCGGAAGTTCGGCTCGAACACTGTTCGTCTGCTGAGGCCGACGACGTCTTCGGCGCGACACCTGCCGACGTCGAGAGGTGAGTCCACTGCCAACTTCAAAAAGACACGTATTTAGTTTTTTTTTTAAATATTTAATTCCATCTTAAACATTTGACCTCAAAACAAACCACAACTTTATTGTTTTCTTTATTTCTTTATTTTTTTTCTGTTTTTTTAAATTATTTTAAAAAATTTTATTTAACCAAGAAAAAGTCTCATTGAGATTAAAAATCTCTTTTACAACAGCGTTCTGGCCAAGACAGGCAGCAGCACAATCACAGGCTTTCAGACATAAAACATTTAACAACAATTTACATAAAGACAGGAATCACAAAAACATCTCATCAGAATCTGTCAGAAGTCATCAGCAACCAAGCGATCAAAAAGGGGCAACACGAGTCAGTTAAAACATCTACAGTCAGATGTTTCTGCCTCCAGATCTTTAAGAAGACCTTTAAAAACATTCAAGGAGACCAGCTCCAAGATTTAAAGTATCTTGCAACCGATTCCATTCAAATCTCTTTTGTTTCACTACATGAATGTGTGTTCGACCATTTCCTTGTTAGCAAGAAAGAACCCAAACATGGTGTCAACTTCTCCTCTAAACAAACTGTTTTTTATTGTGATAATAATATGAAATAGTATTTATTTGTAATAATAATAATAAATTGCCTTTCAATACTCTCAATGTTACCTTACAGAGCAGAGATAAAAACAACACAACGATAAAGTGAACATTAAAGACACATAAAGGAGTTATGAGAGCGATGATCAGACTCAATGTGAAAGTTTATAAAAAGGTGTGTTTTGAGATGAGATTTAAAAATGGAGAGAGAGTCGATATTACAGATTTGTGGTGGGAGGGAGTTCCAGAGGTGGGGGAAGGCCCTGGACCCCCCATGGCAGGCGGGCGGGCGGGGAGGTGGTTATAGGCCTGTAGCGCTTTAAATCAAAATTCTGCAAATACTAAATTTAAAAACATTTCACAATAAGACACAGAACATCTAGGAGACATATTCATAACTCGTACACAACAGTAAACAAGTCAGTGGTTCTTTAGCTTCACTTTAAACACCTGAACACAACACGACGGCCTCATTTCCACCAACTGCCTTCGTTTTGACCTTTTGGGTCACTAAAGCCGTTTTCACATCTGCACTCCTGAAACTATCTAGATAACTTCAGGAGGACTGCTCCGGAGATTTTCCCGCCCTGAATGTTTACATGTGCACCTCACAGACTAGCTCTGTCAGATGGGAGGGGGGGGGGTCTCCTGAGGTAAGACGTGATGTACAAAATAACCGATTTTTCCAATGTTATGAATCTATTCAAAAACTCAGGAGATAAAAATCAATTTTTTACATAAATAGATTTTTCCCAACCTCTACTTGGTCCTGAAATTTCCTGAAATTCAACAAGTTCTGGTTACCCCCCCGATCTATCGGTGCACCGTTTAATTAGTTAATACCCAAACTCCTGTGATTACACTTCTCTTATATCCTGCACTTAAACTTCAGGTTCAACTTTAGTTTTGACATTTGAAGCTCATCCAGACATTTTGACTTTTATTGTGAAATTCTGACTACACTGTAAAAAAAATGCAAAAGGTATCTTTGGCCCTTGAAGTAATTTATACCAAATTCATTTATGTCATCTCCTTTTTGTTTGCGTCTTTCCCATTTTTAAGACCATCACTACAGCTTCACCGTGCATTACGACCTCGACACGCTTCCCTCAGAGCAGCTGGTCAGAGCATCATTCATCCACCTCCGCTCTTCATCTTCTACCTCCTCATCCTCCACGACCTCCAGCGCCCAGGCCTTCCCCGCGCCCCGCTGCATGGCTCAGATCACCTCGCTGGGCGAAGAGAGCCTGGTCACTCTGGAGCCCCACGAGCAGTGGACGGAGACGGATATCACCGCGCACGTCCAGCAGGGGAGAAGCCGCGGCACGGGGGGGCACTTGACCCTCACTGCCCAGTACTGGTGCACCGATCCTGGGCATGCTGACGAGGACAGCGGCCTCTCCAGGTGGTGGACTCAAAGGGGGAAAAGATGGAGAGGTGAGCCTCACGTCGAGGTCCCGTCTCTGCTTTTATACCTGGAGGAGGAGCGGGAGGGCAAGGACTGGATGGAGGACTTGCTCGGGGCCGAGGGGGAAAACGTCATGAGGCAGATGCGTCCGTGGAATCCTCCTCTTCGACGGCGCCGGAGCTCCAAAAACTCGTCAGAGCCGAAGGATCCGTCGCTGACGCTCTGAAAAACGCCCCGTCCTCCTCCTCTTCCTCTCTCTCTTTCTCCACCTCGCCCTCCGCCTCCATCCTCGCCGAAATCCCCACCTACAAACGCAAAACCGGCACGCCCAAGAACCGCTGCAAGCTCCACTCGTTCCGCCTCTCCTTCGACGAGCTCGGCTGGGGTCGCTACTTCATCGCGCCGCCAGTGTACAACCCGCGCTTCTGCAAGGGGAACTGCCCCCGGGTGCTCCACTACGGCTACCACTCGCCGCACCACGCCATCATCCAGACGGTCATCAACGACCTGGGCGTCGGGGATGTCCCGCCGCCTTCCTGCGTGCCGTACAAGTACATGCCCATGAGCGTGCTGGTGGTGGACAAGAAGAAGGTGGAGTACAAGGAGCTGGAGGACATGGTGGCAGAGTCATGCACGTGTCGCTAAAGACATGCTATGCACTTTGGATTTAGACTGGGGGGGGGGGGTGTGGCGGATTTGAAGGGTTTTTGATCTACAGCTTGGCGGTTAACCACAATGAGCTGCAGACTCGAAGGAGGAAACCTGGAGCACTTTAAAACGAGGCCTGTTAGGAACTACGAGTTGTGCAGATGGAAATGTCTATTTACTGCTTAAAAAAAAAAAAAAAAAAAAAATGTTGGAGTGATTGTTGGTTAAAGCACTGTTCAGACTGTTCAATGTTCCAGTTTGTAACCAGAAGTATTTCAGCTGCTTGAGGGGGGGGGACTTATCAAACTGTGAGGGGGGGATACTTAGAATGCCGAAATAAACTTTGACAGTCACTTGGTGAAAAGGACGAAACATCAGTGGTAACTTTTAAAGAAAACATATTTATCTCAAAGAAAAGAGTGCTTTTTTTTCTCTCTGTAATAAAAGTAAATAAAAACAAAGGACACATTTAGAATCCATAGACGTCCAATTATTATTTTTGTTTTCTGTCTATTCATATTTCTCTTGGTCACTCTTTTAAAAAGCTGATCTGTTTTCACATCATGGCTGACAAACCTTTAAAAAAAAGTCGGTTTGTGGAAGAGTAATTATGGCACTTTTTCAGGCCTCGGAGAGAAACGAGGGGTAGAAAGAAACCAATTTTAATGGAAGAGGGGGTTGAGCGATGTGGATGCAGCTTTAAAGGCCTTGTAGCGTTATATTTTTTCAGCTGTGGACGGTAGAAATGTAGAAATATTTATGTAGGGAGTGGTATCCAAAAAAAAAATCAACAAAAAAAAAATGCTGCTGCTGACCAGTCTTAGTGAAAGGAAGAGGGGGTGGAAATCAGATGAATGTCAAAGGACGCAGATGTTAAGTGTAATCGTGGAGAAGAATGCAATTTTTATTACAAGTGAAAATTAATAATAAAATAAATGCATGTTTTCTAAAAACCCATTTTCTTGTCTTTTTTTTGAGGAAGTTAAATGTTTTCTGTTATGTTATCAAGATCGAAAACTCTTCTGGTCTGTAATGTTAATATTGTAATCCTGCAGATTGAAGCCTTGTGCTCACAGCAGCACATATTGTACACCAAACATTTTTGGGTTAACTGTGTTATTGCATTGAGTCCTGCAGATGGCGCCCTAAGCACACACAAAGTTGGTGCCTTATGTTTCCTGAAACCAGCTGCAGAAGATGTTTGATTTCTGACCAGATTTATATTTCAAAGAGTAACATGTTAGAGACACATTTTGTCACACATGAGTTCATAACGTGGCTAACTCTTTTGGTTGACCTTTTAACTCTCCTTGACCTTTTTATCAGGAGAAGCCTTTGAAAGAAAAAAAAAAGGTTAAACTGAAGACAGACACGGACGGCTTTACAGGAGGTCATAGGTCGGCTTTGGACCTCATCCACCGAGGAGCCTCGTGAAACTCCCAAGGTTATGAGTTTAGAGTGTTGGCTTTTAATCGGCTCTAAAGCGCCGTCTTGTCAGTAATTATAACGTGTTCCTGAGAACGTTTAGAACCGTAATGTTACGTTTGTAATGCCACAGATTAAATCTGTCTTTTAAAAACTGTTAGTTTGAATTTCCCTCTGGATCAAAAAAGTATTCATCTATCTAATTTGCAAATGAGTTCATTCCTACTCTGTTTAGTCCCTAAAGTTAGTCTATAAATGTGAAATCTGGCAGCAACAGTCAGCCGGATATGAAAATGCACTTTGCTCTGCAGGTTTCATATGTGGGTCAAAGAGAGTCTGTCATTCGACATTGTTTACTGACAGACTTTGCACACACACTAAATCCAGCATGCATGTGCGTGAACACACACAGGTCTTTAAAATACAAAAAAAGCATGTAAATCACGACAAGCTGCGAGCCATTTAGCACCAAATAAGCAATTTGCACATAGAGATTGCCGTCTTCAATTTTGCATATTTGGCTTACAGTCCAGGGTGTAACCCCGCCTCTCACCCAGTGACAGCTGGGATCGGCTCCAGCCCCCCTTGCGACCTCCAACGGGAAAAAGCAGTAAAGAAAATAAATTAATAAAAAATAAAAAATATAAACTTGCTAAATTTGCTGTAGACAGAATATAACGTTTTATTGAATAATACATAGCATGCATCTCTTCATGGTGAGGATTTTAGGGCAGCTGTTAGTGCGTCATTCGCTTCTTTGCACTACTTACCACCTGTTTGTCCCCAGGTAGAGAGGGCAGTGAACTATGACATTTCTTGCCTACTACATTTCAGCTACTTGGCCCTTTGTGTGACACAGTAACCCAGATCTAGCCTCAATCTGCACAGCTCTAAACGTTTTGTCCTCTGCGTATATTACATCACAAATGTAACAACAACAAATTCATGTTTTAATTCCCTGAGGCCCGTTTTGACCTTGATGGAACATTTTTTAAAGGTCACTGATGCATGTCGTTGTGACTCAGATGAGTTTGTTTTCTCTTGTGTAAAGATGTTTAGCTCGGAAAACTCAACTTCCCCCTAGAAGCTTTCCAATAATATAGATCCGAGAGAGAACACGTACTTGAGAAAAACATAATCTTTGAAAAGATTTTGGGCAGTAAAATGGTTTTGTTATAACTTTACACCTCTACAGTTTTAGTAGTGTGCAGTTAATCACATATCCTGCAGCATCAGTTTCAGACATACAAAATAACTCTATTAAAATATACTCCTATTGCTAATGATCTCGTTTGCTTCTGTACATCATCATATAGAGGCATCAATGTAAAAACAAAACACCTAACAGAAGCTATATATGGGAAGATGTCGTTTTGGACGCCCCTTGGTTTGCCAGATATGAGAGTAGTTATCAGGTCAAACCAACAGGTGTTGCAGCGATGGAAGCGGGCGAGATAACTGGTTCAGATAGAAGTGATTGTACCCGACCTAAAAAGTCTCTGCATATTTCTAATAAGCTCCACGAGCATAAAAACTAGAATCAATATTGGAGATGCTTTTGAAAAATGGAGAGAGGTTAGAACGCAGAAAGGTTTACAGACTGATGCAGAGCTGGCTAAACACTGAAGCTTCAGTGTCCACCACATGGCAACAAGCTAGGACATCAACTCTAGGGAGGATGGTGCGGGGGGAAACAGCTCTCGGCAATGTTTTTAAATTTGGACTGCAGTACCCACTTTGTTACATGTTGCTCATTTAAAATAAGTCTGCAAGCACAAAAAAATAATCTCAAAACTTGTCCATTGCTTTAAAAGTTTAATTATAAGGCCTTTTGTGTAAAGCTGTGTTTAATTAGAAGCACAGTCTTGCACTCTTGTTTTTTTTTTGCCGAGGATCCACAGTTACTGTAACATTTGTTTATAGAGTGACTGGAAATCCTCAGTTTTGCAGGACCTCCCAGTCTGTATCCTCCGGGGATTTCTCTCTGCGTGGTTTTGTCTTTCTTATCCTAATCTTCTCTGACACATGCTGTAATGTAATGTTCTGAAATAACACACAGAGTCACACTTTAGCACGACTGATTCCCATAAACATCACATATGGACGTGTCACACATGGAGAAGATTAAGTGACCTGATTCTGAATCACATTGGACAAGACAACGGACAAGAAAATATTGTCTCTTCAGTCGTGTTTCTGGATCTTGGAAAAGAGGAAATGAGTCAGCTAGACTGTTATGTAAACACAAAAGATCATTAGTTGTATCAAGTGTGTGCTGTCTTTCTTATCTTCACACATTTTCATTTGTAAAGCTGTCCATAACCAATGGTAATAAACACACAGTAGCCAATCTTACTTTGTATTTCGTAAAAAAGTTCATTAAACACTAATGCCAAAGAGCAGCAGTGAATCCTAATCTTTAATGTATCTTTAAATTGTTGAATCTGATCTTCCCTTCTATCGGACAAGCCGAGGTGTCGTCACACCCAAGTTGAAAAATCTTTGACTTCCATGCCGTGCGCACAAAAGTCAAGCGCCACCTTGTGCGGATATGATTTTTACTGTATAATTACTGTAAATATAAAAAAAGAACTGATGGTTAAATATTGTCTCATTGTGCATACATGAGCTGCCTGATTGCATCACTCACCAATGAACCTTTGATTATTTCAGCTACGGTTGACAATTTGCCATGTCACACTAAAACAGAACAGTCAACAGAACATCGGAGTCAGCAGTTAATGCAACACAAAAAGGCTATAAATACAAGAGTGTTAAAGCTGGGGAAATTAAGACAAACGTTAGCATTTAATAAAGCAAAGCTGATTAACATGTTTTGTTTTTGAAAACTTTTAACATGACGTTTTTTTGAAATGCATAAAGCCAATCTAATTGTATCATTTATTCCTGCAAAAAAGTACTCAAAGACCTTGGACTGTGCTTTGTTTGCTTTGCAAAAGTCGCACTCATGCAGGGACTTGGATCATAGTTTTCTTCTGAGGTCCTAACAACCAAAGAAACAAGTATGGAAAATGAGCATTCAGTGTCATAGTTCTTCCTAAGAAGAATATATGACTGTATGCACTTGGTAAACTTCAGCATACAAAACGATGTCATCAGCATATTGCATGACCAATGGACATAACAGTCTCCCTTCAGTTGTTCGAAGCAACATCCATGTTAGTAAAACTCTGCTGATTCTGAACTTTGTGTTTGCAACCATACAAGCTAGCGAGGTCAAGTACGTGATTGACTGGCACTAGTGTGTACTGGGCTAACTAGGCAGGAGTAGTATTACTTACTAGCTCATAGTCATATTCCATTATTCCCATGCGCTTCAAGATGTGTTGTAGTTCATCAATAAAGGCAAGGTAGAAGAACTATACAAGCTATATACTAAAATTAGAAAGAAAATATTTGTTAAGCTTTATAATAAGACATGGGCTTATAAGACAAGTATTCTGTTGAGTATCATTGTAAGATTTGTTTTCTTAAACAAATTTGCAAAAACGTTTTGTTCCTGCTGTTCTCAATTATTTCAGATTATTTTTCCAGATAAAGAGATAAGATATTAACTTGGCCAGAAATGACCTATCACCACATCCGCTATCAGAGAATTATTGGCTTCGATTCAAGGTCGATTCTGTCCACATTTACAGGGCTTTCCGGGTAATCTATTTCTTTGAACGGCAGCCTGCTCAGTGCACATGATGACCGAAATGTGTTCAGATGAGGGCATGTCTGCGACCTCTATTCTATCCATTTGTCCAATGGAATTATTCCTGTCTTTTTACAGAACAAACCAAAGTTTAAAGTACAGACATACCAGACCTGCATGGTCAGATAGGCTTTATTTGTTCCATGGCCGGGGGATGGTAGATTGACTGTGCTAGAATGAGAACTGGCACCTCTAGCTTTAAATCTGCTGATTAGTCTTTCGGATTCATGACCATTCCAGCAAACTGTGCCAACAATTCAACCCTAGGCAAAGAAACAGAATCTTAAAGTGAATCTTTGTGTAAATAGTGTTTTCATTTGTTTCCCAAAACAGATGCATCATGATAAAGAGCTATACACCGTAAAAATGATATTTATTGAACTGATGGGTGCATACAACTATAACTCGTATCAAGTGTGTCCTTTTAAATATTGAAACCAGTTGCACAAGCTGTTTAACTCTGCAGCTGCTCAGCCTGTCAGGCATTATCTGATGAGTCATGCTCACTGACGATATATCAAGCAGATGTTTTGGGTTTATGTCATCCAGGATTCCTGTCAGTCTTGTGCTCCTCTGAAGGCCTGTCGTGATGAACAACCTTACTGTAATCAGTGCAGGAATTTTCCATTACATCTATCTTGATTAAGTTGAATATGATGTCTTTGTTCCAGCCTTTGTGTCTTTGTTATGGGTCCCTTTGGATAAAACCTCATCTTTTAATTTTAACCTCAAAAAATTCACCACAAACATTTGAAGAAAAACTAGTGGGGAACATTACTACTGCCTTAGTGCACTCTGTGTTGCCTTCAGCTTTGGGGTTATGGTCATAAAAGTTGACAAGGCAGAGCTTTGAACTGGTAGAATTGCCTAACTAGCCAGCCCAAAATTGAATTTTTGAAGACAAATCTTGTAAATATGTTTGGACTCTCACCTTTGTTTTACTGACCCAGATGACAAGTTCAAGCCATGTGAACACAAGTTATTTTTACCCAATCGGGGTATGCTCAACACAACAAGTCTGACACATTATGTTCTATTTTTGCTTGGATAGCACAATGTCAATAGTTTGACTGGTACAAAGCTTGGTAATACAAATTTAAGGTTGGGGAAAAAACAGCAACCTATTGAACAACCTTTTTTTTAGAATTGATGATAAGAGCCATTTCTTAGGATTTGACTTGGTCAGTGGTGTTAATCTCAGGTGGTGGATTCATGAAATTGACATTAGGTTAACTAACAGCAACCCCTCATTAACTATTTGTGACTTCTTCAGAAAAAAGAACCAAGTGTGCTCCTCCAGAGCAACAGAATACAGGTCTTTAACACTGGCATGCACACATTAGCTCTATTTTGGCCCCCCTTTTAGAACCAATCCTTGAGATAACCCTTGTGCAGACAGTCTATGGTCGAGAACAGATCCGCTCACCTCAGTTTCAGCATTTGTTTTCTGCTGCACTTGCATGTCGTTAGCTGGAAATATTGAATATGATTCGACAAGACGACTTTTATATTTGGAGCTAAAACAAATGTCAAAATGCTTAAAGTTAATTGTTTGTGGCTTGCCCTTGGATATTGTTTAAATTCAATAACAATCAACTCCATACGTATTTTAGTAAACAGAAACCTTCGATATAATCCAATCCAATCCGCTTTATTAACCACAGCACATTTTGAAAAACAAAGATTACCAAAGAGCTGCACAGTAAATGTAAAAGTTAGAAATAAAAACACATTAAAATACATAAAACCCACAAAAAGCACATAAGAACGTTGTAAAACACAAAACCACAAAACTCTAATGCTGAGTTGAAAACCTAGGAATAAAAATAACTTTTTAGAATGCTGATACCTGTAGCATACCTAGCACACATACAAGTTATGTGCCTGCTTACGTAAACCACATCTGCTCCTTTTCTCAATTTTGTCTACGTTGTATAAGTGTCACTAAGATCAGTAGTCCAAGCTATACTGCAGCGCTCAGACTCTACAGGTTGATAAAACCTTATCTGACTGCAAGGTCGTTCACACGCACTGTGGCATTGACATATCCTGTGACCCCTTTGCCTCTTTAAACTCTTCTGGCCCACCTTTATCTCTTTGCTTTCATTCCTTTATGTTACGCTCACGTGTGCCGAGTGTGTCCCACCAGCGCTCATGTTACTCGAGAAGAAGAGAAAGAGAAAGTTTAGGTTTGAGACGAAGGAGGAAGAAACAGAAAAAGGACTTTTTGTGAAAGTGTTAGATGGCCTGATTTAGGGTTTTCTGTAAACACATAATGTTATATTTGGACCAGAAAAGAGAGATGAAGAAAGGGGTGGACAACAGCCACAGCTTGGACTGTGTGTCTCTCTCTCTCTCCCTCCCTCTTTCTTTATCTCTCTCTCTCCTGGGATCATGGTCTGTCTATATAAAGGAGAAGCAGTGCCACAGCTGAGTTCGCTGAGTCAGGCTGACTTGAAGAGTCTTCAATCATCTCTGTGATAAAGGAAAACCTGACGGAACCTGTCGCTAACACTACCTTGAAAGTTGACTGAGTCAGTGAAGCCCTCCAGAAACTGTTGGGAAACTGGAAACCTGTTGTACTGTGGAAGAAGACATTTACTCAGAAGAAAAAAAGGGCATACATACGCTCATCAAGAAACAAACAAAATCTCTAACTTGAAGACTTGCTGATCGGATCAAGATGCAAGAGACGAGCCTCTTCACCCAAAGAAAAGAAGCAGTAGCACTGTGCTTTGTGCTGCTAGTGTTGGCTCAGCAGGTGAGTGGATCGTCCCAAATTAAAGTAACTTGAGGTAGTTATGGTCACGATATTAGAATACATGTGAACAAGGAAGGAAGAGTTCAATGATTTTGTGTGTTTGTTTTTATTCTCCACTTCAAAGTATTCATTTTTTCTTTACAGTGATGAGGGTGTTTCTAATACTTTAAAGTTTGATTGTGGTGAAGAACAACTGATAATTGAATAAATGTGAAAAAAGGGAGGGTTCTTTGAAAGGTGTATTAAACTTGTTTAGTGATTTGAACTCAGCAAAATATTAGAAACATGCTCTCTGCTGTAAAAACAAATACTAAAGAGGTTATTTTAAGCCTCTTGGTGAATCAGAAAAGTAGGAATGAAAACAAAAGTACAACTTCTAGAAATGTGCAATTGTGCTACAAAAAAGAACCAATGTGGAAAAAGCAAGTCTAAGTTCTAGTAGAATTTTTTTAGTATTTGGATAGTTTACTCACATCTTGCATGTCTAAATTAAGTAAACTCAGTCAGTATAATACTTAATTCATGTAGTATACATAATTACTTTTCCTGTAAATTGAACAGGATACATCAATGCCAATGTCTTTGTCATCTGTTTTCCTTTCTCCTGCTTGTTTCTATATAATGACATTCTTTACATTTGTTTCTTTGTGTAAACCAGGTGTGTGCAGGTCCGTTAGTCCAACAGGTCCACTCTAGATCAGAGCAGAAAGAAGTCTCAACCGGGGTCCAAGTGCTGAGGAGGGTAGCTCGTATGACCCCTCTGTGGAGGATCATGAACAGCAAACCATTCGGAGCTTACTGCCAGAACAACTACGAATGCTCGACAGGACTCTGCAGGTAAACAAGAACAAATAGAACAAATTACCTTGCCCATTTAAAGTCATTAGTCATAACCTAAGGAACTGTGCTCAAAATTAATAGGGAACAATTTTCAAGTGGAAAAAAAACTTATGTCTGGGTTAGGTTATCTTGTGTCACCCTTGGGAAAACCATTTACCATGAGGATAATAAACGCACTTAAAGTGTTCTACAAACTGTTTGACATTGTTCAGTTTTACTCTAAACACTAGAAAGGGTCTTAAAATCAAAATGTTGCAAACAATACACAAACAATACACAAACAATACCGTCCACCTAGCACCGCTACCAAGTGTACCAATACGGGATACTAGTTAAAATAATCTGTTGCTATTTTAAAATTTGTAAATAGTTATAAAGCTACAAAAAACTTGGAGGTAAAATGCTAAATTATCTACGGATGCTCACAAAGGAAACTCTTGCAGTACATATTTTAAAATACTTTAAACATTTTAATCCTGATTCTTCAACCATTTAGTGAGCAGCACTAGCAGCAATTCAGGGTACTGTTGATAAAAGGCTACGCAATTAAATAATAATTGGCAGCAATTACCTTACTTTAGTCTTATTAGTCTAGTTTACTTTCGATGAGTTAGATGGCTCTTGATTTTCTTTAAAAATAACTTCCTGTTACTCTTTTTCTTATTTACACGCTTAGAAAGTTGGTGTGAATAGGCTACAAGCAAAAAATCACAAACTTGCTGTAAAGTTTATGAAGACAAAATATAAGCTGAGAAATGTGTAAGAGAGTTATATTGTTTGTACAATGTGATACCCAACATTTGGTTCTTTTAATTTGAAATAAAGAGCCATTATGGTTTGAATACAGTAGATACTTCATAAGTAAATGTTTGGAAATCAGTGTTCTGTTACATGAAAATACTGTTTAGTCTTCTTTCACTATGGTGATAGTTTGTCCTTCGTAATGACACGTTTTACTGATTCTTCTTTTCTTGTTTCTTTAGGGCTGGACACTGCTCTAACAGCCAGCGTGCCCCCTCAGAGGCCGCAAACTACTAGACGTCATGGACACATCCGTGTTTACATCAGTGTACAGCCATAATCCTTATGACTGGGGATATGCCCAGCCCTTTGTTTCATTGATTTTATATTTATATGTGCCAAAAAGTTGCTGATAAAACATGTTTATATGATTTTCCACAAAAGTTAGTTACATCCAAGGAAAGGTATGACAGGAGAAATTATAGTGTCACTTAATGTATTTAAAATGTAAAAAATAGAAATATCACTCAAACTGAAATGGAAGAAATGAGGCTTTATACTTTTATACTTCATCATTTGAAACCATTTCTTGTTTAACAAGGCTGCAAACAACTCAAAAAATATTTGTTTCTTAAGTAATATTCAGCCCTGATTTCCAATTTGAGGCTTTAGTTACCATGTATCTGTTGTTTAAATTGTGTTACTTGATGTGGGATGGAGCAGAAAGCAATTCAAACCTTTTAAAAATTGCTGACCTTTTCAGGATTTATTATTAGTCTGTGTTTGTTAAGCTATCTCTTCAATGTTTCCTTCAGCCTAATCATTCAACTGATAATGTTTTAAATGGAAACAAAAAGGCCTCCGCGAAAATGGTCTTGGTTATTAACAACAAAATGAACAATAACCCATTACAGAAGTATATGCCATATGTCAACGCATGGTGCAGTTCAAGATCATACCGCAAATGGCTTGTTTTAATGATGACCCATCGATATCTATTTGGGTAACTATCTAGGAGAAAACTGAAGAAAACACAATGTAGAACAAAGCAGGAAAATAGGAATAAAAGGGAAAGCAAAGACGAAGGAGCAGAGGTAGCAAAATATTCATGCAATGCTATAGCGCAATCAAATTTGTCAACAGCTTTATTTCATCGTAAATTGTTTTGAGGTTTCTGTTAAATCTGCATCCATTGTCAATTTTAACATGTTATTGTTTATTACTTGTACGAATACAATGCACATATTCGTGAATCAGAGATGAACAGCCATGTATTGTTTTGGGTTTTTTGCACATCCATCTCCTCATATTGATAAGCAATCAGGGATTAAACTTTTAACACGCCTGCATAGTTTACGTCACGCACAGAGCAGGTGATGGCTGATACTTTTTATGAAAACATTTGAGTAGGATTGCACTTTTAAACGCAAATTATCTTTGTACTGTGTCCTGTCTACTGTTTGTACTGACTAACATGTAGAAGGCTGGAGGCGGGGAGGGGGAAGTGGAATAAAAGCATCGGAAAATAAGTGATATGATGCATGTAAGTTTATTTAGAATATTTTTAATTTACACACATGCATGGGTTAAATATTGAATGTAATGATAATTGCAACATATTTTGTCATTCTGTGTGATTTCAAATAAAGTTTAAAGGTCACATATTATTGTCCTTTTTATTAAGTTGAAACAAAGTCTCAGAGCTCCTCAAAACATATCTGTGAAGTGTCTTGCCAAAAATCCACTCTGATCCTGTATTTGATCATGTCTATAAACCCCTCTATTTCAGCCCTGCTCAGAACAGGCTGTTTCTGTGTCTGTACCTTTAAATGCAAATGACCTGTGTATGACCCCGCCCCCTCTCTGGAAGGGGATGTGGCTCGGGCTTTCTCGCTCCATGTCCTATTGTTTATGGTGAGAAGGCAAACTCAGAGGGCAGAACAAACACCTAGCTGTTGAAGTGTCACCCAACGGGGGGAGGGGCTACTGCCCTTTGTGATGTCATGAAGGGAAAAACTCCAAACGGCCTGTTTGAGCACACATTTTCTGAAACAGGAAAGGGGCCAAAGACAGAGAGGATGGACTGTTCTCATCATTGGGGTGATTGTAGACAGACCAGGGACACATACCAGTGTTATAAACCCATGGTGCAAAGTGCATATTGCATAATAAAAGAAAAAAATAAACAAACTTATCAGACGGACTGTCAAATATTTGGGAAGCAACAGATCAATCTTACCCTTTATATTGAGAGAGTTATAACATATCGAGCAATAGTCAAAGGTTATTTGAAAAAACACAACTTGGCTGAATCTATCTCTAAGCTTTTTGAATCAAATCCTAACATTTTTCAACGTTTTGTATAAACAGAGTGACTTAAATAATAATTACAAAATGTTTCCAGTGGTGGTCTGAATTTGTTTTTATTAAGTCTAACACTTCTTTTAACATGTTTGCAACACTTTCCACCGGAGACATATATTGCAGTACTGTACTTAAAACAAATCACTGGAAGGATCTGTTGATGTAGGGTAGATTCTTCAGTATTTTTTTAACAAGGTTCATGAAAAGGCGAAAAACATAAATATTCATGCATGGATTTTAGTAGAAAGAGTTTGTTCAGCTGTCATCAGCATGGCTCCATTTGCATGCTCTTTTAGGACTTGTCTTCTGTGTTCAATGTAGTTATGTTAGCATTTTGTGCAAAAGTTTGACTAGATTAAAGTTAAAGGCAAAGGCAACAGCTGTTTTTTTTTATCAGAAAAGACATGTCAGAATAATGTTTTAAAGGTTAAGAGTTATTTTGTTCTTGAGTAAAAAATTCTGCAACTGGAGGAGGTTGAAGTCGATTGATGGATGAACCAAACACAGGGCTCCTACCGAGGACATTGACTTTTGCTGGAAACACTTTTTTGTGCCCTCCAGCCAAAGTCAATGATGAGTTATTCCAGTGAACTCTTTGGGATGTATAATTTATATAACATACTTTTCTTTAAAGCTTCACCTGTGTCTTTTGGTTCCTGAACCTTGTAAAAAATGTAACCATTTGATGCAGCCAAACTACATGAACGTGTCTCTGAGACAACAAGATGCATGCCTGTCAGTATTTGATGACAGAAGTATGGGAGAGAATTTGAATAAAAATGCCCAGAGAAAACCAAGAAGAAAAAGTAGGATTATTGTTGGACCTCTGCAGAAGCAAGCTGGAATTTAAAATTGTACAATTGTTTGCAATTTGGATTTTTTTATTGGCTTCTAAATGTCCCTCTGCTCTTAATTTATATCCTCTCTTACCAGCGTTAAACTAAGGGAAAATGTCTGCTTTTCTATCACTGTATTTGAATAAATACAATAAAATCCTAAAAACCTTTCCTGCAGTATGATGTATGATTTGGAACCCCAGCACAAAAGCTGCCTGGAAACAAGACTTGCATAATTGAGCACAGCAGCTTACTCAGCAGACCTCTCCGGGGTAACATGTTGCAAAAACCATAACTAATTGAAACCTGAATCACCCTCTAAATCATGCACTGACTCATCTTCTTTCACATTTTTGCTTTTTTTTTCATGAGCTCTCTCAAACTGAATCTGTTGTCCATGTTTAAAAGTCAAAAACCAGTCATCGTTCAGATGTTCTGTGTTTCATAACCACGGAGACAAGCCAAGTGTGTGAGAGGCACAAACTGAGATAAACGTCTGGAAATCATGTGGATTCAATAAGTCTGGATTTTTTCCTCTTGTGCCGAAAATGTGCAGAGTCATCAGAAAATGTGTGCGTCCTCTGTGTGTGCGTTTAGTGTTCATAGGCGTGAGTATGTGTGCACGTCTATATGCCTGAGCAAACACTCAGGATCGGAGTCTACACATGACAGGAACAAACTCAAAACAACTGAGCATTATCTAATTAGCTTATTTTGAAGATCCCATGATTATTTTTTTCTAATCCCAAGACTATGCTTCTTCTCTGCGCAATGTGAAAAGTATGAAACATAAACAGCAAAGTATATTTAGTGGGGGAAAATTTAGGCTAAGACCAACGTCAAATGAAGGACTTTTTTAAATGATGCCCAATGTAGGGTGTACCTCTCTACTGTCTTTTTTATTTTATTTTTATTTGCAGTTTAATGGCATTTTTTTGCTTTACCATAATTTTGCTGAAGAGTAAACTTCTGGATTTGTGTATTCATATTCCAATGGAGAGAAAAAAAAACCCAAAGGTTTGGCTCTTCAGCTCGCTCCTGCAAAATGTGAAACTCAACTTGTGTCTAAGACAGGAGGAGACCGGGGTGCATTAAAACATTCAAAATGCTTCCTACTAATGGGATGAAAGTATTGTCACTACAAGGTATGTATTACATCATGGTGTCCTCACAAAGTGAGTTTGTGATTTTGAATGGTGTCCCCATAAGGTCTGTGTTACAAGTATCAGTGACCCCACAATGTGTGTGTGTGATTTTGAATGGTGTCCCCACAATGTTTTTGTTTCATGTTTCATTGCTCAACAAAGAGATTGTTTTTAAAATCTGTGCAAAATGGTGGGATGACTCCTACTCTCAATTTCTCAAAGACAAAAAAGATGCTACTGACTTTCATAGAATGACACCAAAACTCTTGAAAATATATTATCTCACTGCACGTCTGTCATGATGACATCCATGGGAGTTATGTTTTACATATATGTATTTCAGTCTGTACAGTTTTTATGATAAATTGTTATATTTGACCCCCTTCTCTGCAAAACGGTGTTCTGCAAGATTGGAAATTAAAATTAAAATTTGTCAACAAAATACTTTACTGTTATAACAATGTGTTTACTGTTCCTTCAAATTACACAGTTAGAAGTTCATGCTCCCGTGGCCTGATGTCGAACTTGGCGGCTTCCTTGGATGTCTGGGCGGGAGTCCACTGGAACTCTTGCCTAGCACACAGTGATCTTCGTACAAGCTGTGCTAGACAACTCAAATCAACTTTTTTACTGTGTGCAAGTGTACATTGCTCTTTGATATTCAGATGTTTTTGATATCTTTGGGGAGTGTAGTCAGAGACTGAGAGAGACAGACTGTCTTTTGAGAAGTGTGTGTGTGTGTGTGTGTGTGTGTGTGTGTGTTTTCTTTTCATACCAACAGAGAGAGGACGCTGTTATGTCCCTGTCCTTACATTGAGTTCACATCAAATGTGCTCAGGTCAACAGCTCAGAGAGGATACTCGGGTTCCTCTCTATTAACTTACAATATGTTCATGTAATAATGACCTAGACGGGACTTGTGCCGGTCCCAGTTCAGACCTCGCCCCTTACAATTAATTCATATCATAACATCAGTTCATACGTCTTCCTACCTGTTTTCTGTGATGCGGTTCCTCATGGCTTCTGGTTTCTGTGTGGACTTAAATGGTTTTTGTGCTTACAGTCCAGCTGATTTGAGGTACAAGAGAAAGAATAACAGTGGGGAAAAAAGCTGCCCAATGTTTTGCATAAATAGCAGAAAGTTTAAAATACAAACTTGTATTGAACAAACCTCTGAGCAGAACTCGTTAAAATGATGATCACTAAAGCCATTTATCTATAAAATTAAAAATGTGTTGAAATAGTTAATTGGATATAAGGCTACAGCTACAGTGCAAACACAGATAATGATGTACAGATTAGTGGTATTGAACAAAACTGAAAGAATATAATTATGTTTTTTACAAGCTGTTCACCTCAGAATTCACAGAATCTTAAAAAATATATTTTTTAATTGAGCTTGCGTTTGTAGATTTATTACACTGTTTCTGTCAGCTAACTTTTGTTTTACAGTTAAATGTTTTGATCCAACAACTGAAACCATTTTAATTTTAAATTAACTGAATGTGATCCAGCAGATGAGATGCAGCTCAGGATGATTATTTCAAACGTGCTGCAGAAATATAGACCGGTTTGTGTGCACATATGACCAGTGTCAGGCCCAGACAAATCCTCTGTATGTGTTTTTTCCTGTGTTTGCTTTTTTACACATGAATATACCCAAGGTCATGTATTTTTGTCTGTCTAACACCTGTAGACTTTGAACTCTAAACATCATGTTTCAAAGTTTTACATGATGTACACATTTCTCTCCTTCTGAACAGTTCCCGTTGAGTTTTTGTGATTGATTTACAATATGATGATGTCACATGTACCGTATTTTCCGCACTGTAAGGCGCACTTAAAAGCCTTTAATTTTCTCAAAAAACGACAGTGCGCCTTATAATCCGGAGCGCCTTATATATGGATCAATTGGTTAATTGGTTGATCCATACTTGTTGTACACGGCACTCAGCGACACTGACTCGGATAATGACGAGAGGGAGCCGGGCATGTTGGATGCCGTACTCGCCCAACTGTTCAATTCGGACACTGAAGAAGAAGAATTCGAGGGATTCGTGGACGGGGAATGAACTGAAAAAGTGAGCTTTACGTGTTATACGTAACTGAACAATGTTGAGTTATGCACTAACGCAGGGGTGCCCAACCTTTTTGGAACCAAGATCTACTTTTAAAGTTACCAGTCTGCTGAGATCTACCAGTCCACATAGTGAGCCATAGCCTTTACCAACAGCCTACAAACGCATTTAATACTCACACAACAAACAGAAAATAATAAATGAGAGTTCTGTAAAAAATAATGCAGACTACAGACTACAGCAGGCTGCTGTAAGATGATTTTGCTTTTGTTAAATAAGCTGCAGACACGGTGAGAGTGAACGGAGTAAAGTCCAACCGACTGTTTGACCGTAAAAAAACTGTTTTTTGGTAAAACATTTACCCCCCGGTTTTACCTGCACGTCCTTGCGCATGCCTGCACTCTCTCTTGCGCGCGCTCTCTCTCTCTCTCTCTCTCTCTCTCTCTCTCTCTCCATCTCCACCGCTCGCTCTCATGCACGCAGCAATTTCATGAATAAATGAAAAATTAAATACACACAGGTCGGAAGTATACTTGGGCTCCCAACACAGGTATCGTGTGTGGGAAACAGTGCAATGAGATGAAATTGAAATCACTTTTCTATTTTACAATTGTATTTTATATTGACAAAACATCTCGCGATTGACTGAGAATCAGTCAGCGATCTACCTGTCGATCGCGATCGACTGTTTGGGCACCCCTGCACTAACGTTTGAATTAGCGGTATCAGACTGTGTTTCTTTTACGTGTTTACAACTGAACAAGGCTGGGAGATATTGTGAATATGCACATTAACGTTTGAACAACGTTGAGTTATTGTGAATGCACTACGTATAAAACTACGTTTTGAGAGTTAAGAGAAACGTCAAAGAAATAATTTATTATTTGGGAAATCGTCTTATGTACTTTTGTTTTTGTAGTTTTATACTTACGTTTTATACGTATTTATATTTATATATTCACAATATCTCCCAGCCTTGTTCAGTTGTAAACACGTTCTATTCTATGCGCCTTATAATCCGGTGCGCCCTATATATGAAAACAGTTCTAAAATAGGCCATTCATTGAAGGTGCGCCTTATAATCCGGTGCGCCTTATAGTGCGGAAAATACGGTAACAGTTGTGATTTTTTTGTGCACTTAGCTGTAGCCATTAGATTTTAAAACTTTGGTAAACCCCTGACTTTCTTCTATTTGTACTATTGTCCATATTTAATTTGTCCAATATTTTTTGTTTTATCACCAAATACCACAAAACTAACTTACTTCCTATTAGCTTTAATTTCTCCTAAGGTTGAATAATTGGATTTTAGCTAACACACTTTACTAACATATAACTTGTGAATATTATTCCTGCAAACATTTAAGATCAGCTCTTAAGTGTTGCCATCAAAAGCATATTAGCATGCTGGTTTTAGTATTTGAGTCAAACAATAACCAGCGTGGCTGAGTTTTATTTCAAGCATATATAAAGTCTACATGTTGATTGTTACAAAAAACAGTGCAAAGTTAGTTTTGTCAAATTGGTACAACCCATCATAGTATTTGTAACACTGTGCAACACACTGTTTTTACAAATGCATCAAAGCATTTCTATCACTATCAGACTGTGAGAATAAAAAAATGAAATCTTTTCCCTTAACTTTTGAGCATGCATCGTATTGTTGTTAAAACTTTCTTCATACTGCAGATATAAAGTTGAGAATGACCCCAACCTTGGGCCATTAAGTTAACTTGTGCACATGTACTGCCACCTGCTGGTTGCTCTTATCATCTGAAAACCACCAGATAGATCTTTGTCTTTGGTATCAGTTTGGCTTGAAAATCTTTATTAAATTAAATCACCCATTTTATATCACCTCTCTGGCGCCCCCTATCAGTGAGACAGAACACACTAATCTTTTCAACAACTTCAACCAAAGCCTCCAGCTTTTGTCTTTACACCTAAGCTGGAAAAAAACTGCAGGAAAAACTCAAGACAATTAAATAAATTAAACTATCACTGCAAGAAATATAAAAAAAATTCTAAAATGGTTGGACAGATTTAAGATTTTCTTAACTGTAATAAAAAAGTGTCACCGATAGCCCCGATTGGACCTTAAGTTGAGTGTAAGATGAGAAATGCTCAGAAACATGTTTTCTTGCTTTTATTAAAGATTTAGACACAAAATCTCACAGTAGTTCAGAAGTTTGTAATTTTTTTAAATGATGTAAAAGTGACTGTAATTATGTGTGTTTCGCTCAAATTGTCAAATATCACAGAATGTCAGAAAGTTATTGTAAAGGCGACACAAGTTTGACACCGTATCTTATGTTCATGTTGACTTTATTTATGTCCTGAAACTTTTTATTTTTCCAGAATCAGAATTTTTAAAACTTTTAGCGGTTACAGAGGAAGTGTAAAATAACAGATATGAGTACATGACCATAAGTTTCAATTACACTACAATATCTCAAATTTAATTTTAGCAGAAGTAAATTAAGTTGAAGGAATTCAAATTGCACTTACAAAGCCGACTAAAAAAAGTCACAGCATTCAGAGATTAAGTACAAAGCATATTGAAAATGCATTCCTTTATTCATGAATAAACATTGAGTTCAAAACAAGGTGGTTTGATTTCTACACATTCTGCTGTTTTTGCATAGTTACAAACCAAACAACACTCACACACGTTCACAAACGTTAAGACACGCAGAATTAAGGCGTTCAAGGACGATGTGCATTCTGATACAGACACTAGTGTTGTTGTCAAGACCACACAACTGAGACTAAGACAGACCAGAGTGCTCCGAGACCGAGACAAGATCAAGACATTTATGGATCAGGACCTAGTCAAGACCAAGACCAGGGCAGGGTGAGACCGAGACAAGCCCATAAATATCACTGAAAAATACTGGTGGTCCTGATTTAAAATCCAGAGTCCACCAAGTCCGAGACCGAGTAAAAATGCTTTCGATTCCAAGACCTTCAAAAAGTGGTCTCGAGACTGATTTCAGGTACTACAACACAAACAAACAACTGACCTCTTTCCTGACTTTGTGAAAGTATTAAGAAGTTTTCAAATAAATAGTAGATTTTTTTAAACCGCCATTATTTTATACATCGTACAGCATATAGGATTAGAGGTAAAGTGGGTTTAAGCTGCTGAGCTACGTTACAAAACAAACGTGGTAATAAATTAGGCTCAATTACAGTCGTTATTCAGAAGTTACACACATGCTAAAAATAGTCCGTTTTCAAGTTTTTTCAAAAATGTCACAGACTCAAAAAGAAAGTTGTAAGAAAGTCATGAAAACTGTGACTTCAGTCGGGCAGTTCAGGCACATCCTTGTTTACTCAGCTACCAAATGTCACAGTCAAATCACGTTAATGTTCCAGGCATCTCATTTATACATTCGACTCTTTTCCCATTAAACAACGAAGTCTAATAATGCCTCAGAGATCTACAAGTTCTTTTAACTTCAAGGATAGTTCTGTTGATTTTTCAGTCAGAAAATAACCAAAACAAACTCAGTGCTGGACATAAATGATCTTCACTTTTTAATCTCAGGGGCATGTGCCTCAGCTGTAATATAAGTAACAGTTTAAATTTAAGTCTGAATTTTGCTTCAAATGTGTTTTAAAACAAGCAAAAAATTGTCCAGACGTGTGACCGACTGTAGCTGCAGTTTAACAAAATGTTTCATCACATTCCTCTAATTCATGGTTATTATAATGTAACAAATGTTGTGGTTTCAATCCCCTCCCCTGCTCTCCCCTCTCACTGCACGGCACACGAGCCGCTGGGCAGAAAGTCCTGAACATACACCGCAACCGCCTTGGTGAGGTACGTCATGCTCCCGAAGCGTCCACTGGGGGCGCTGTCGTACAGAAGCCTGCACACTCCAGTGGACGGATCCCTCTCCAGGATGTGCTCCTCTGCTCCAAGGTCCGTCTGGAGGAAAAGAAAAATTAGGTTACTTGTAATAGCTTTACTTGAACACAGAAAGATTAGATATCTGGAATTGAGACATTTTTGTTTCTCTCTTTTTTTGGCCATTTTTCACTTTTATTGGACAGGACAGCTGAAGAGAGGCAGCAAATGTTGGGAGGAGAGAGTGGGGGACAACATGCAGCAAAGGCCCGAGGTAGGACTGAAGCCCACACCCCCTGCGACAAGGATTACAGCCTCCATACATGGGACGGGCTACATAACCCCAAATTCCCGCCTCTTTACGTCACCTGGTCTTTGCAGAACATGTCGTTGGCGATGTGGACGATCTTCTCCACGTGGATGATGGAGCCGATGCTCGGGATCTCCACGTCGGCCAGCATGGTGAGCACCAGGATGGCCTCCACCAGCAGCTGCCGGTACTCCGGCTGAGGGACGCGGTTCAGAACCGTCTCCACGTGGACCGAGAATTTGATCTCACCTGGCGTCATCTGGAGGAAAAGACGGTGAGATGGGAGGACTTAATATGTGTCTGATCAAACATCTGACAGTTTTATATTTATCCTTACACATTCAGCTTCTCTAATTATTTATCACGAGAGGAGAAGTTTGAAGAATGAACCTTCATAGATTTGTTAAGGATTTCAAATGGTCTATCAGGTAAGTAAAACATACCCCTCCCCCCCCTTTCTCCTTGTGGACGATAATAAAGTTGACCTCTTACCTCTCTTGTGGTTGAAGATGGAAGGACGAACCCTTCTATGGACAGACCATGGCACTGGAACACAAGAGATTTTTATATTGTCACAACAGCTGCACATTAAATTGTAATAGCAACATGAGCATTTGCAAAAAAACAACAAAGCAAAAGAGATCCTTTCTCATGCTTTCATCATGCATACTTTTGAAAGCCTACGTATACTGTAAATGTCTTCACATTAACTGGTGTTAATTGTGTTTTCAAAGAAAACTATTTTTGGATTCAGGCGGGACACGTTGCAAAGACAGTCGTCGTTTAAAACAAAAAAACGCTGATAGACAGAATGTGTTTCCTTACCTTCTGCAGGATCTTCCACACTTTCTGGTAGAAGCCCACGGGGACCCGGTTCAACGCTCCGTCCAGACGCCTCCTGCGCAGCCATTGGCCGTGCCGGGTATCCTTGGCGGCCGGGATGCATTCCGGAATGTCCAAAGATTCTATGGAGGGCAGTCTGTACCTCTGAACGACCACAAGAAGAAAAAGACAAATAAATACCCTCATGAGGGGGAAAACTATTTAGAAGATTAACCGAAGAAGAAGAAAAATCTTTACCCCGGACTCAACGTTGTCTATGTCCAGAGAGTAGGAGCGCGAGCCCTGAGAGGCAGAAAGAGAAAACAGGAACACACACAAAATGAAAAACAAACAAATTTGTGCAGATGAGGAAACTACTGTGAGAGATAGATTCATAAACATAAACAAAACAACAGAAGCAGGGGATTATCGCTTCTTCACAGCAAGCAGAAACGAGTTATCAGGAGGGGGGAAATATACAAATCAACTTAGAAGACAAAAGAAAAGTTCATCATAAAGTCAATTAAACAAAGAGCATAAGTCTAATGCTTTATGAAGGAGGGAAAAGATATTGCACATTTTGGTTTATGTGACTCTCTGGAAATATATTCTGAGATAATGACGGAGACAGACTAAATTAAATTAAATGGAAATTGCGAGTAAATAATTAAACAACCAGAAACACATTACGACATTAGCTGGTTTTAGCCGCATTATAGCAGCATTTTACAACTTAATGCTTAAATCTTAATCTTAAAAATATTTTCTGGCATTTTCTGACTAAATAAACAAAAAACAAACAGGTATTTTGATTATAAAAAACTCAGCTCTGCCATCATTAATAATAATTATCAGCTGCAGATGTTAAACGTTTGAACATTAGCAGCAACAAGCTAAGCAGCGTGAGCGCACTGTTAAAAGCTCAAAGAGTTGATGTTCTTGTTAATTATTTAAGATGAATTAAACACACCAGACACAGGGTTTTTTTTTTTAACGCCGTTACTGTTGTCACCTTGCAAGAGAAGCTCAGTGATTGGTCGAGCTGAAAAAGAGACAAAAAAAAAAATCTACTGTGCATTTGAGTCTTTCCACAAACCACTTCAAACATGATGGTCAAAATAAAATCCTCATCCAGAGATGATTTCAGAAATGTGCCAGCATGGAAACTCCTTCTACAGATCATATAATGCAGAAAATGATGTATGGGCTGTCTTAGAAATTGTGCTTTGTGTAATCTGTCCAGCAGAGGCCACTCTGTGTTCATAACAAATAATCCTCTCAGCACTGTCTGCAGTAGGATATGTAGCCAATGCGTACAGATTTAGTTTTCGTTAAAGGCAGAATGTCTTTTTAATCTCTGAGTCATGACTGTCTACGATAAATGAGTCATCACTGTGACCACTTCTGTCAGAAATCATCTTAATCCATCTGCAATTTTTTTTTATTTTACCAAATTTTACCACAACCATGTGGTCTAAATTGGTGACGGTGTCTAAATTTGCATAAATATACATTACCCAAAGTATTTGTGTGAGCACGATAGTGTGACTTTTCTTGCAATTTTTGGTGATTAAAAACAAGAAAATTCCAGGGGCACTGATGGCCTAGCGGTTAGGTCGCGCCCCATGTAAGGAGGCTATGGTCATCCAAGCGGGCAGCCCGGGGTTGAGTACGAACTCTGGCTACTGTACTTCGCTGCTTGGCATTAAGTTGTCTCAAATCCAATTTATCCAATGAGGACATTTTCTGTAAATATGGGCACATCATCCTCATCCATAGCAGATATTAACTGTGGAGTGCCCCAAGGCTCAATTCTTGGACCCCTCCTCTTCTCCCTATACAGTTATAAAATCTGCAATTCTGTTTGTTATGTTTTTTTTATCCCTGTTGTAATTTTTAAAAGTTTAATGGAGAGTTTTAAAAAGGTGCTCTACAAATGAAGTTATTATTATTTTCTGATGATCAGGCAGAGCACAGTTATTTTTATCACCTTTGATGTTCTGATCGATCAGACAGGTACACCTACAGCGTATTCTGGATATCTACTTTGTTAATTATTATCTGCAGTTTATAGTTAAAGGAGAACGAAGAAATAGAGAAATAGCTGCGATGGTTCATATTCCTTCATGGGTTCGTCACCTTAAATGGATCGAACAGGGACAACCTGCGCTCCCCCTGCAACACAAACACCTTCAAGTTATAAATGAATCACAGTCAACAATCTGATGTAGTGATTCATTTAAAACTCATCTTCTCTTCATCGACAAGCAAGAAATCAAATCTTCTCCAATTATCAACAAATTATCTTCACACGTCCTTAAAAATGATTTCCACGATTCTTCTCTGATGCAACTCGCACTTCTAAATTTCTCCACAATTATCGAGGTGAATTAGCACCAACAGCTGCTCTTATAATCATCGTCACCTTACCGACAAAGACAACCTGTGTTCCAGCTGCAACAAGACAAAGTCAGTTTGCCAGTTAGCACAATAGTACAACTCTTCATCATCTTCATCACTTTGACCTCCAGCGAGTCGTTTAAAATGCAGTTCATCAAATTAACACTCGTACTGTGTGACATATGTTCTTTTAATTACTTTTTATTGTTTAGTGTACCTTATTTTATTAAATTTCTCTGTTCATGTCTCCCATTTGTTTAGATTAAAGAATACTCCTTTTTGTTTTACGTTTTTCACATGCTATTTTGTCCCTTCAGGCACACTGTAGGAAAGCCTCCTCAGTGCCTCCCTGTAGTCGCATTGATTGAAAATAACGACACCGCTGAGCCTTTAAATGTCCAATTTTCTTTTTTAAAACAAACTCTCAGACAGCACAGCTGACGATTCCAAAGTAATATCCACTTTACGACATCAAAAACTGACCTTTGTTACCTTCTTCTTCAGCTGTTTTCATTTACTTTTTGATCTGTAATGACTTATTTTTCCCTCGTTAAGTTAAAGTTTTGACATGCGATCTACCGAAAGTTCCTTATTTTATTTCAAAATAAAAGCATGTTTGTATTAAATCAGGGAGTAAAGTACCTTCAGCTTTAGACAGTACAAAAAATCTAAATAAAATACTTTTTTAAATGCAAAATAATGGAATTTAAAACGTGATTAAAAATGTGATTAATTAACTACTGAATTCAGCGATTAATCGCTATAACAAATTGTAATTGTTCGACAGCCCTTATCTCAACATTTCTGTTTTTTGTCCTATAAAAATGTTTGGTGTACATGAATAGAGCTCCAACGACAGACTTTAAAAATAGATGACGCAGTCTTGTGATAATGTATCTGTATTAAATATAGAGTTCTACTGTCATTAAAAATGGATCATCATATTTCTATTCCAGCTCTAAGTGAGATGTTTGTTTGAATCTGTTGTTTTTTTTTTGTCCTACCATCTTCATGTCGCTCTTCAGTTTGCTGATGCCGGCTCTCTCGCTCTTCGTGGCGCCCGTGTTCCCGAGCTGATGGATGGAGATGGCAGGACTGACGCCGGCTTCCAACTCTCTGACTGTGGAGATATATATATGTATATGTATATATAGACAACCTAACAGCAGGAAAAGTATGATACCAAATAAAATGTGATTGGCTGTTTGTGTGACACGAGCTCTTATTGGACGGACCGCTGCGCTGCACTCCGAACTCTTTGCCGCTGAGGATGTGATGGAGGAGATTCTTCAGTTCTGACGGACTCAGACCCATCAGGCTCTCTGTGGCCTCCTCTCCTGCACAAACACACACACAGAAACACACACACACATTTAAACTTTAAAGAAGAATGAAAGACAAGACAAGGAAATCAAAGTATGAGCTTTTTCATATCTTTTATAACAGATTAACACGCTCCCTCTCCCGCATTTCCTCCCTCACCTGAGCAGTTGAGCGACTGTGCGAGCTCCGTGGCCATCACCTGGATGATCAGACCGATCCGCAGTCTGAACATCTCGCTGAAGAGGTTCGGCTGAGTCCTGATGCTCATGGCGAGGTACACCATGATCTCCTGAAGAGACGAGGAGAGACGTTAAAAAAACAAACAAACAGAGAGACATGAGGATGAAGATGTTTTAAATAAAGAAAGAGGGGGATGTGAGCGACCTGAGTGAGGATGGCAACGCTGATGTTGTTGTCGCTAGCCTCTTCGATGAGGTTGGCCAGCAGGTCCGGGGGGATCGGGGCTGTGATGGTTTTCTCTCGGGGCTCGGGAGGTAAACCGACCGTCAAGTGTTTCTGATGAGCCAGAAGATCAGAGCAGGCCTGCAGACGCAGCACAAACATAAAAAACTATCACTAACAGTTCTGCTTACATTTTTTACACACGCTGCGTCTTTGTGTGTGTGCACGTGTGTGTGTGTGTGTGTGTGTCGTACCGAGTCCAGCTCCTCCACCTTCTTCCTCAGCATGCCGGAGATCATCCTGATGAGGCTCCAGTGTTTCAGTTCCCCGGCCTTCTCGTAAAGGTCAGAGAGCAGAGATCGGACAGTGGAGCCTTTACCGTGCAGATGAGTATCCCACTCCATGCCTCTGTGGAAATAAAAGCAGGATTGTGTTTAAACAGGAAGTAACCCTCAGTCTTAAGACAGTACAACATTTCAAAATAAAATCCTATAAAAAAAAACTGCACAAAAATGTGATTCTCACTTGTCTTTGAAGAGGATGTAGAGGATGTCGGCCTGGTCCTGGAGATTCTGAGTGTCTTTGAGCATCTGGGCCAAAGCGTGGTGGTCGATGGCTCCGCTGGCGTCTCGGGGGATCTCGCTCAATGCTGCGAGCAGCACCTGAGGACCCTGGAGGTTCAGATAGAGAGAGGAGGGGGATTCATCAAGAGGTCTATAAAAGGGACTGGAGGGGAAGAAACCGGACAGTTAAAAAAACCAAAAAAAACCCACTTGAGACTCCTGCCCTGGCACCGGGTCGGGGAGGTTCAGGTTGAGGGAGGGTTGTCGTGTGCGGAACAGCTTGTTTGGCAGGTACATGTTCACATCTGTGAGGGGGAAAAAAACACAAACATGAGTCTGGTGTAGGACGAAGCTGTTTCAGGGTTTCATCTTGTTATGTTTGGAGTAAAAACCGTTAAAAATGGCTTCACCGTGAACGTCGAGGCCCTGAGCTTTGTTCATCAGAGACACCATCGCCTTCGTCTTGGCGGCCGCCGCCTTGAACCTCCCCAGACCTTTCACTTCCTGTTTGGGCTTCTTGGGGGCGGCGTGAGCCAACAGGTGGTCCAGGTACTGAGCGAGGTCGTCGGCCTCTGGAGAGGAGAGACGAGAGCAGAGACGGAGGACGGAGAAATAATAGAGGATGAGGAAAAAACCAAAACAACGTTCCTCATTGAAAATCAAAATGCCTACAAGACACCTTATGTGAGGATGACCTGCAGACAGAAATACCTTCAATGACAAAGAGAGCAGCTGTCACACAGGCAGACATTTAAAAATAATGCATGCTTATTTCAAACAACCAGAGACAGACGAGCGCTGAATGCAGGCAACAAAAACTGTTCAAACATATATTTTACATGAATTTTTTTTTGACTGTCCAATTCCTGTAAAAGTTCAGTTTTCATGTTTAAAAAAATATGTTTTCATGCAGCATCGATACAGGAAGGATGGGGGGTGGGGAAGATCAGTGATGATGTCACAGCAGGATGAAGCAGGAAGTAGTGATTCACCTGCACCAGGATTCAGAGTGAGGATAGTACAACACGTGTCCGGGTGTTTTTTCTTTTGTTTTTTTTTAATCAATGCTTCATAAAAAAATCAGAAATCACCATTCCTCCCCATCCATCCATCAGTCTGTATTTTTTTTTTGTCTTACCATCATCACAACGTAACTCATGCACGTATCCATCGGCGACAGCCTCATCACCATCATCATCATCATACTCTTCGTCGCGGCGGCTCATGCTGCCGGAAGCCTTACCGTCCAGGAAGCTCAGGTGAGCGAAACAGGAAGTGGTCATGAACTCCGACAGCTTCCCCGTCTGGATCCTTGAAAAAAAAAAACGACAAAAAGGTAAATCATCACAAACCGGAACCAATCAACTCTAAATTCTCGTTGAAGCATTCCTTCAGAATCACAACAAAAACCTTCAATCCAGCGTCAGGAATATGAAGACAAAGAATTCATTCATTGGAGGTAAAGCTTTGTTTATCTAATCTGCCCGATCAGTTTGCCCCCAACTTGTTGTAATATCATTTGACTTGTGTATTGATTAATAACTGTAATTTACCAACACCATCTGGGTTTTATAAGCCGGGTCGACCACCTTCACAGACTGTATGATTTTTAAATGTATGAGGGAAACTCATTTAGCTACCCTTAAAAGCTTAATATGTGATTTTTCACACTTAAATGTAGAAATCAAGTATGTCCTCTGAAAATAACTCTGTGAGTCATGACTGTCTACAATGGGTGTAACACCCGAGTCCCACTGTCTGTGATGTTTTCAGAGTCCAATCTTCAGTTTGTTTACATCGCCAGGACGGCCGGCTGACTCCTCCCCTCGTGTATAAAAGTTGTTTAATTGAGGGACTAGAGAAAAGAAGAATAACATACTGTACTCACTGCTTAACTGTGTTTCTAGATCACGCTCATTTCAGGTAAATTTACATGCAGTTTGAAGATACCAGCATAATAAAGATCGCTAGCATTAGCATGCTAACACAATAATGCACCGCAAGTTGTTTTGGTTTCATGCTGGTGCTCAAGGGCGACATCTGCTGGATCAAAAAATCACATATAAAGCCTTTAAGCATTCTGAAGTCAAACTGACCTCGCTCCTCCGTAATATCCGTCCTGTAGCTTCTTCAGTGTAGCTAAGACTGCAGGGTCCAGGTTTGTGTGGTCTTCAGCTGAAACACACAGGAAGAGGAATCCAGGCAGCAGGTTACTAAATGAACTTTGACCTTTTGGTGCATTTTAGAAACCTGATTTTAACTGTTTTACATAAGTGTGTTTATTTAATTATCTCAGGACATTTTAGACTTTTGTAGACTGATTTTCTCTTTTTGATTTAATGTCTGTTTTCTAATTCTTTCTGTAATGACTCCATGTCCTTGTAAATGAGGGTTGCCCCCTCGATGATCTTTGGAGTATAAATAAAGGTTGACTGAATGAATGAATGACAGACAGCCCTGTTTAGCATCAAGATTAGCATCTTCAATAACAGTAAATATGACATTCCTCAGTTCTTTAAGGACATCATATTAAAAAAACATTTTGACTTGTTGTGCTTTTTGTGCTTACTCAGCATCGTCTGCGAAATGGGAAACGTGACGGTGGGTCGCCCGGTCATCCTCCAGCGGGACGCCAGGTAGGCGATCTCCGTCCTCAACGACTCCACGATCATTTTGTTGTCCAGCGCCAAATAGAACTGCTGATGGTCGATGAACTGGAGAGAAAACAACAAACGCAGCGATGATGGAGGGGAAATTGAAACTCCTCCTTTTTACCACAATGACATCACAGGTTTCACCCGGTCGACCTAAAGCTGAAGAGGACCTCAGGTAGGATTTGATCTGTCACTAAGTTTCAAGGTTTGTGAACTGAGATGGAATTATTTAAAGACTTTTCAGAATGTGTCTTACTTTCCACAACTATTACTCACAACCTTTTAATGAAACTCAAGCGTGAATAAACTTAGAAAGATGGGTCAGTGCGGTGTTTAAAATGTGTGGGGGGTGAGTTCCAGAGGAAAGGGGGGGCAGCGATGTGACTTGTTGATCAAAGGAGGGGATCGGGTGGAGCTGTCAATTTGAAGGCTGAAGTCGGGAGCAGATTTGGGGATTGATTTTCGGCCGATTAGAGTTTTTTTTTAGATTTAGTGGTCCGTCAGCTGCAGTGACGCTGTACAGACCTGAGGTGTGAACGAGAACATGGTGTTCCTGATGATGTAGAACTTAGAGGTTCCCAGGACGCCGATCCTCCTGTAGGGTCGGCCGGTCAGACCAAGGCGAGGGTTACGACCTGAAACACATCGGGGGTCAGGTGTGATGACTGAGAGACTGGAGAGCGGTCCCCGGTGATTTAAAAAGAATACAAGTCGTACCGAGTCGGGCGTAGATGTGGCTCAGGACTCTGGAGGGCTGCACGTGGATGGGATGGATGTCAGCGACAGTCTCCACATTGATGCCGTTCTTCATCAGCAGCTCTTTGATCTCCTCCGTCTCCGCAAGAATGGAGACTACGAGCGAAAGAGTTCAGACATTTGAAGAGTCGCTGCAGCATCTCCACATTTATCAGAACTTATCTGACACTTTGACACCATGACGACGTGTCTACGCTGACTCACCCTGTACGACCACGTCAGGCTTGGCGATGGTCGAGAAGCGTCTGTTGAGAGGGTCGATCTCTCCGGGGGCGAGGAATCCCTGAAAGAAAAAAACACAAAACAAAACAAAACAGGAGACAAAAAGTTTCACTCTGAAATCATTTTGTTTAAAAAATGTGTTTTTGAAATGAGGGCCGCTTGCTCGCCTCTGACAGAAGGTTCCCGAGGATGTAGAGCGACTGTCCCCACTTCAGAGGACATTTACCCATCGAGACCCTCTCCACGGAGTGAGGGTTCACGTACTCCTCCTCCACCTGGTGTGTAAACAAAAACAAAACCATTTGGGTTGATTTTTCATGGAGGAGTCCTGACGCTAGATGAGTTGAGAACGACTGCCTTAAACTACTGGAAGTTTCTTATTTATTGTATTTTCTATTATACAGGAAGTAATGTTCTCTCAGTCTTAAGACATTATAGAATTTCAAAATAAAAGCCTAACAAAATAAAAAAATAAATTATTATTTATTTAATCGTGATTAACTCTTAAAATTCACAGATTAAATGAGCGCTGATAGCCTAGTGGTTATGCTGTACAACCTGTGTACAGAGGCTAAAGTCCTCGGCCTTTGCTGCATGTTGACCCCCCCCCCATTCTCTCCTCCCAACACTTCCTGTCTCTCTTCAGCTGTCCAATCAAATAAAGGCAAAAAGGCCCCTCCCCCATTCATCGATTAATCACGATAAATGTCGATCGTTTGACATCTTTATAAAACATGAAACAGTCAAATGGAAAAAAAAACTGTACAACCATGAATAGAATCTTTTTTTTCACCTTCTCTGGAGGGACGCTGTAGAGCTCCGGGACCAGTCGGATCCCGTCTTTCTGTTTGATCAGGATCCCCTCCAGAGCCTCCTGGTACTCTTGCACCTAACGGAGATCAAACCCTGTCGTTAGTATCCTCAACAAACAAACACAGAACACAGGCAGGTGGATCAGTCTGTTCAACAACCTGCTCCGGGCTGTTGATGAAGATGCCGTCCAGGATGAGGTAGGTCCAGAACAGCGGCCACTCGCACTCGATGTTTTCAAACAGCTTCAGCTCCGCGGACTCGTAGTACAGACGGCTCGGATCCTGGAGGAACAGAGAGGAAGAGAGGACTGTACCTGAGCTTTCATTTCTGATGACATCATCTCTAATCACACATTATGACAAATCTGAGATGTGACTGTATCTATAAATCTGTAACTGATGCACTGACACATCCTGCTGAACAGATCAAATGGATAACAGGACTTCATCACAATAAGGAACGACTGACGGTTTTTATCTGTATGTGACTACTCAGAGCGACTTACCCTAACCCTAAAAAAAACAGAAAAGAGAGACGACTAATCAAGACCAAAGACAAGGTTTAGATGGAGGTTAAATGTGGGTTTGTGTGTATTTATGTCAAATTGCAAAAGACATCAGTTCAACACAGAAGGAGGACGGAGAAAAACAGAGATGTTCTTACCTCTTTAGGTGTTTTGTGTCCGTCCCTGAGGAACCTGCAGCAGCCGTATCGACCCTGAAGCGACACGGAGAGGACATAAAGAAAGAGGGGGCAACTTTAGGAGGTTTAGGAGAACGGGAGTGAGACAGATAGATAGTTAGTTAGTTAGTTAGTTAGATAGTTAGCTAGTTAGATATATAGTTAGTTGTTCAGTTAGCTAGTTAGTTAGCTAGATAGTTAGCTAGCTAGATCTATAGTTAGGACGACATCTACTGGATCAAAAAAAGTCGTACATTCATCCTTTCACAGTTCAGTTTGTTTCCCTGTTCTCTGTACCTGCAGTTTGGAGATGATCTCCTCCTTGGTCAGGTTGACGATGCTCATGTCCTCCACAGCGAACGCCGGGTACGAGATGATCGCCAGCACTCCGGCGTCCACCTCTTTAGAGATCGACGCCCGGGGTAACATCGACGTCAGGATGGACTGAGGAGACGAGGAGGAGAGAAGTTAGAATCAAAACGATGCTGCTTCTTGAAAGAGTGTGTGTGTGTGTACCTGGCAGTGCTGTATGTCGTCAGCTAAGGCGTGCACCACAGATCCAGGTCCTCCTTTCGCTCCGAACAGGTTGAGTTCATCCAGAGCCTCCAGCGCCGCCTGCAGGACACACAGCACATTACATTACATACTGAGTCCACAGTGGATCATCATGCAGAGGAGGAGTATTAAGACTTCGACTGTTCCCAGAACATCACAGAATTCAACTCTACTTAATCCTGGATTATTGTAATCCAGGTTATGTCATTTCATTTATTCAATATGAAAACATTCAGAGACTCCAGATGTGCAAGGAGGACAACATGTGTCATTTTGGTAAACGTTTATGATGTGGTTACAGAACATTGTCAGAGTGGTATCAGGTAGTGGTAAATCCTGCTGCTGGGGTTTATGAATATTAATAACTCACTGTTATCAATGGGGAAGGGAACTTCCTGAAGAGGTGCCACTTTACAAAGTCTAAAATTAAACTGTGTGTGCGTGTGTGTGTGTGTGTGTGTGTGTAGGGTACTGCGAGTACTGTGTTATTCTGAGGCGTCATTCTGGGAAGACCACAGAGAACCTGATACCTCCTGGACGAGCAAGGACAGAGCTGGGTCATTCACAGAGAGAGAGAGAGAGAGAGAGAGAGAGAGAGAGACAGAGAGACTGAAAGAGCAAGGGCGAGAGAGAGAGAGAGAGACTGAGAAAGTCTTTTTCTCATGTATTTCACCCAAAAGAGACCCAAAGAGAGTTTTCATCTGATAGCAGAATTCTATTTCTACACTCAGACATTAGTGTGATCTGGTACTAGAGAGCCCCCCCCCCGATCCTGAGTCAGTCTGAAGAGTCTGGGTCATCTAAAGGTCAGCGTAAAGGCCGTCGCGGTGACTAGACACCTCCCACCGTGCCAGAGAGGTTTTACAGGAGCACCTGTTCTGATCTCACTCAGCAGTCAGACCTCCATCTACCTGTGTGTGTGTGTGTGTGTGTGTGTGTGTGTGTGTGTGTGTGTGTGTGTGTGTGTGTAACCTTAGCCATGCCGATAGAGCTGGCGTTGATCTCAGTGATGCCCTGGTTGGTTTTGTCTCCTCTCTCCCACATCCCGTAATCCTGAGAGGACGCAGAAGAAGAAGAACACAACAGCGTTCAAATCTAATTCACATTTTAAAATCGAAGGAAAAAAAGATTCAAAACGATGATCAAACGAAAACGCGAGCCTGTTGACAATGAATTAACACTTAAAACCAGGGCGCGACCTTTGTGAGATTTTTAGGGCTGATACCGATATTGATATCAGAGAGAGAGAAAAAAAAATCTGATACACATATATCGGCCAATACAGATACTCCATAATCCATATAGCGCCCTCTGCTGGTGAAAGAGAGCGGCCAGTGCAATTCAATGAAACTCAAATGAAATGTTATTTGACTGCTGAATAAACCTAGAAATATCAGCGCATATCTTAGATAAAATTATCACTGGATAAGCTAATATCGGCTGATATTATCGTCTGGTAGATAAATCGGTCGACTTCTACTTACAGCCACTTTGTACGCTGCTTCAATGTAGAACATGAGATTCTGAACTACGTCCACTTCATCCTGGGTGTAGACGATGTGGAGACCTGGTGCAAACACAAAACAAAACAAGAGAAACAGAAAGACATAGAAGCATTTTCAGTATTTTACCTTCACTCACACAGTGTACATGGGTTTTGATGGTTTTGCACATTTACCTGACGCCGTCATCTGAGCGAGGAACAGCAGGAAGAGCGAGGTGGCGTCCACCTGCAGGTGACCCCATTCGTCGTCCCCGACAACAGGAGCACATGTCCGCGTGTTGTACTTGGCGTGGAGCGAGTCGGAGGTGCTCCTGCTGTATTTGAACTTCTCCACCTTATCCAGCTTGGAGGGCACGGTGACAGAACAGACTTTACTTCAGTTTATATCTCGATATATGAGCTCAAATATTTACCTTTTTCATTCACCTCATTCATCAGTTAACAACGTAAGAAAGGATTACAAATAATGCGACACGCCTGCAGCACGTTGTAGATTCTTTTAGCTCATTGTTTTGGATTTTACAGCCAAACATGTAAATGTTTTGGTCGCCTGTCAGGGAACATAAAGAGCTGCACAGTTTGGGGCTACAAGCACAGCAGTACATGATAATTAACATCTAGGCAGTGAACTCAGTGAAACATTCAATGACTTAAATACTCTCAAATATTTACAGTAAAAGAGTCACAACTGAGCTTAGATTTATCACATGGTCCCAAACAGGACGTCAAAGAGGCATATCTTGTTTGACACAACATACCTGCCTCATTATGCACTGCAGGATGCCTCTCATCAGCTTCACCACACTCTGGAGAAAGAGAGAGAGAGAGAGTTAAATGTCAACACGTTCACACATGACTCCTTCAGTCACGGCAGAGAAACACGAGACTCACACGAGACTCACACGGGGCACCACATGGACTCAAGCTTTAAAACACATTATGAGGTGGGAACTGAACGATTTAAAGAATACTTTTGAGAATTTAACACGACGATCTGGTCTCTCATGAACCCAGAACACAGACGAGCATGTACCTGCTCCAGCTCGTACGCCTTGGCCTTGTCCTCGTCCCTGTCGGCGTTCTTCCTGTAGGCCAAACTGAGGGCCCACACAGACACCACGCTGTACACGTTGTCTCTGACCCAGGCGTGGGGCTGATCTGGACTGCCAGGCAGAAGACCCGTTACAGGATCCTAAAAGACACACAAACACACATCAACAAAAGTAACATCAACAAACAAAATGGCCTGGGTAGATGTGACATACCGCAAAACTACATTTCCCATGAGCCCCATTGTTCACTATTGCAAAGAGGATGTTGTTTCCTGCCAGAATATCAGACCTTGATAACATCACACACGAGGCAAAGTGGAACTACGACAAAGTTTTCTGATAAACTGGTGTAACGACTCTCTAACGTCCCAATGTTCAAGTCCAACTTGTAGTTACTTTCGTCGGCATAATGGAAGGTCTCGACGCCTCAATCAAAAAATAAACAAATGTCCATAAATGGACTAAGTTTGGGTGACGTTCCTGTTTTATTGCAAATAATGAAGCAGAGAAATAATTACTGGGATGATGATGTAAAAAATGATGATGGATCGTTGTTGAGATGTTTACTGTAAGAACTGTATGTTCCCACCATCTCCGTTTTCACCCGCAGCCAATTAACCAAAATATTTCATTTCATTTTTGTTTGTTCCGTCAAAACACACTACGTTTTTCTGTGAACGTCATTTTTCCGCAATTTTATCCCAATCCATGTTTTCAGAAAGAGGCAGGGAGAAGAAAAAAAAACGGAAAAAAAAATTTGCCTGCCCCCTTACTCAACAAGAAATCAAGAAACATCTAAATGGCCTGTCCAATTACAATCACTTGGCAACCAATGCCATGGCAACATAAAACAAATCTCACAATTTAGAATCTTTGACTCCACTTTCACCATATATTTTCACCATATTAACACCATCTAGTGTCCAAATCAAGAAAACAAACACCAAAACCATTGAAATACAAACACATCAGTATGAAAGTCAACAAGTTCAACAACATTAAGGCTCCATTTTTAGCTTCTTCATGGGAAAAAAACAACAAAGAACAAGGATTTGGGGGTTTAGAGAAGTCTTTGTATTTTACTAATAGAGTTCCCTGCAGGTCTCTGGCTTCAGAGTGCCACATTTCCAAACGTAGACGGTCAGATTTACTTGTTTCAATCCTCCTATCCCTCTTTATGAACGTTGTCTTCCTGGACTGTTTGCCTTGCAGCAGTCGCAGAAAGCCTCACTTTGCATCAGTGTAGTGATCCATCTGAGCACCGAGCTGTGTACAACTACAGGGCTGGATGACGGCCATCTGGGACAGATTCAAAGATGACTTCATCCTGAATTTGTCTGCTTCCACAATCCAGCTGATGCCTCTTCTGGTTAATACAGAAACACAAGATGTAGAAGAACCAGGACAGGCAGGTTTGTGATATGCAACCATCTTTGTCTGTTAGCGTTTGTCTCCATTTGTTGAGGGTAAAACCCAGATAAAGAAGCACTTGTCCAACTTTTTCCGCAGCTCCAAGATGCCTGGGATTTAGGGGGTTTTGGGCCAATACTTGTACCTCTCTGCAGATATCGCAAACACATCAGAACTGGTTAGCACAGCAGGCATAAAACCACCTCCAAACACACTTGTTCCCTCCATGTTGGAGCAAAATGTCTGCAAGTTGTATGCAAGTAGAATTAGCTGGGGTTGGAAACCGGAGGGTCGCCGGTTCAAGTCCCGGTGCGGACCAAAAATACGAAAGTTGTTCTTGTAATCTCTCAATAACAGAGTGTAAATTCCCTCAGGGATTAATAAAGTTTTTTAAGAAATTCAATTCAAATCACTTTAAATGTGTAATAGTTTTTTTTAGAAGGCGTTCCCACTACTTGTTGGCTTCCTCCCCCCCACTTTGGAAAACCACTGTTCATGATTCCAGTGTGTTTCCAACATTTGAAGAGACACTTTTGGGGGAAGCAACTTTTCCTGTGACGTCATGTAATCCCCCCCTGTGTCTGACTGTGTACTTCTGACGTCATGTAGCCTTTCTGGATGAGGGTCATTTGAAGTGTTTGAGGCCTCAAACTTTGACTCTTTGGCAACAATAAACGAAAACACACTCTTACAATGGAGTGTGTGTGTGTGTGTGTGTGTGTGTGTGTGTGTGTGTGTGTGTGTGTGTGTGTGTGTGTCGCAACATCACTTTGCTTCACCTCCTGCATGCATGACAACATTTGACTGTGGGATCTCTGCATGCATGACCCGTATGAAGCAGTTTCTAAACTTTATATAACTTCTAATTTAAGTGTTTAAGAGCAGCAACATTAAAAAACTCACCTGGTGCCGTAAGATAGTTTGTTGCACCATCCGGGCATAGTTGTCCAGTTTAACTCCCGAGTTGCTCCTGCTTCTCATGCTGACAGGTTCAATGGTTCACTTCAAGTACTCAACAAAAACAAACTCGTTATTTCCTCTAAAGTTAAGTCATTTCTTTTTGGAAGCTGCTCGGAACTCCAACAAGCCGAAAAACCTCCGAGGAAAAGCTTTTCAGGGCGACCAGGAAAGCTGCCTGGCTTGTCTTTTAAACAGCTCCCACGACGGATATCAAAGCAAGTGTTGTAACCTGAAGCTGCGGTAAGTCAGAGGCAGGGAGAACCGGAAGTGACTGGGGCGAAGAGAAGTGGCCTTCAAAGTAAAAGCGTCGTAATTCAGTCAATTAGTGGACTTTAAAGGGAGTCATGTGGATGCAGCTTAATTTCATATATTTTAAGTTAACACTAAAACATCGTGATTTTTAACAAACAGGGTTCCAAAAAAAGGTAAATTTTTAAGATTTAAGAGTCAAGACTTTATTGTAACTCCAGTTGTGGGCTACAAATGTTGTGAAGTCGTAAGTATTCAATATAGGGTTAGAGATAATATATAATATAGGGATATATTATATATTATATTATAATATATTATATTATATTATATTATATTATATTATATTATAGGGTTATGTATAGGGACATGAAATAAAATGTAACAATCAAAAAAATAATCAAATTTAAAAATAACAATAGGGATTATGAGAAAAATATGTAGTCTACATTTGAGGCAGATTCTATGAAATAAATACTCATTCAAGAATTAGTCAGCCTTGCAATTGATAAGATAATAAACATTAAGAAATACTTAATAAACAATATATCAAGATTTCCCAAAGAATTTATTCTTTACGGGAATTTGACAAAAGTAAAACGAATCCTTAAAAACACTTTTGACATACAATGGTTCAAATATTTTTGAAAGTTTAGAATTAAGTAATTAAACAGTATTGCAGATTATATCGAGGGTAAAGAGATTATACTGTGATATAAATAATTATGCTTTCAATCGCTTTAATTTATTTCCAGTTAAACAAAAAGTATGTATTTTTGCGGCAGTCTGTAAGAAACTGTACTATGGGCTATTTTTCAACCATAGGAGAAACTACAAACTCTCTTGGACTCAGACACAGTTACTAAAAAAGATAAGGGGTAAAAGATAAACAGTCACGTCATATATTTGGTTTATTTTTTTAAATGTACTTTACTTTGATTATTCTCCCGGAAGTGCTATAATTCGTTGTATAACTTGACACTAATGTAAAACAGGAGTTTGCAGAGTATGAAAGAGCATTGGTTTAAGTTGACCTGTTCGGGATAAAAGCTATGAATTGTAATTCTTAATAGAAAAGTAGAACACACCTGTAATTGCTTTGCAGATATTTAAACAGAGTGTGTGACAGAGCTCCTTTCAACCAGGAAACAAAATGAGGCAAAAACAAGGAAACCTCCCCCGGAACTAAGACTTTTAAAAGCATTGTTACAGTTCAATCAGTATTTCATTTAGTGGAGTTGTTAAGCATTGAATGCCGTCAGTGATACATTTTACCATACCACAAAACTACATACATACACAATTGGGACGTGGGCAGTACAAGTAAGCGGTTTTTGGCGGCCTCTAGCGACAACCATGTATAACATGACCTTTACTCAACAACTCTGCTTGTTCTGGTGCCTCTTACACTTATGGTTTTATGTAGTTATATAATAAAAATAATAATAATAATAATAATAATAATAATAATAATAATAATATTAATAATAATAACTTCATTTATATAGCACCTTTTAAAAACACAGGTTTACAAAGTGCTTTGACAAACAGCAAAAACAAAAACAAGAAGAGACTAAAGCAAACACAGAAGAACATAAACAACAGCAAGAACATAACAAATACAAAATACTGAAAGTAATTAAATACAATTCAACAGAAAAGAACCCAAAGTGCACAATACCCAACAGACATATAGAACCAGACCATCACAAGAACCATCATAAGAACCATCACAAGAACCATCACAAGAACCATCATAAGAACCATCATAAGAACCATCATTAGAACCCAACAACACGAGCTGAGACCAAGAGGACCAAAGATTTAAAAAGATGTGAGAAACTAAAAGAGATAAAAGTAAATAAAAAGATAACAGCAATAAGAAGGTAAGAGCAGTAAAAGAAATAGAAACAAGTGATTAAAGGATAAAAAAACCCCCAAATATAATATTAATAAAAATAAAAAAGTAAATACAAATATAAAACATAAATAGACAAAGTAAGTAAGTTAAGAAATTAACAAGTTAAAACACAAGAGGAGTTAAGATAAGAGCATCAATAAAAGGACAGTAAGAAGTAAAAGAAGATAAAAATAGTAAAACCAGTAAGAAAATACATTAAGAAGACGATATCATCATAGACTGTAAATATTATAGTTACACTGAATTCAGCTTTTTTTTTGTAAAAAAAGATTTTACCGCCCAAATATAAAAATTGAAAGTATTCTGAGAAATCAGTTGAATAGTAATGTGTTATTCTAAAAGTTTTCTTCGTATTTATGAAACAATGTCAGCTTTTTTACAGTTTATGGCTGAAACGTGAACTTTAAAGAAATGCCTACAAATCCCAGCATGCTCCTCGCTCGCTCGCTCCGCCCGCGTTCCACTTTAGAACGTCCGCGCGTAGGAACGTTTCTTTGTCTTACGCGTTTTAAAAAAAAGTGTCGATATTACGGTTTATAAAATGAGTTAAATACCGAAGATATTTTTATTTTTATTTTAACGTTTCGTGGAAAGTTGTCGTCCATTTTTACCGAACACCGACAGCCCGCCTTGAACTGAAGCGACTGTTGACGGTGTAACACACCAGGGGAATGTTGACGGTGTAACACCAGACGCCGCTCGCTTCTTGTCTTCACTGTGAATTTTCCTCTTTTTTGTTTTACCGTCGTTTTCTGTTAAATTCTTCACTTACTATCCGTCGTAAATGAGTTGCGGGGCAGACAGCGACGATGACAGCTGCCGTAAACGGAGGGTGTCGTACGTGTACAGCCCGGAGTACATTGAAACTTGCGACAGTTTATCCAAAGTGCCAAACCGGGTGAGTTCAAGTGAAACGTTTACAGGTCACATTTTATCATCATCACCTCTTTGTGCTTAATCTATTGACTCCCATTTACAGGCAAGTATGGTGCACTCACTGATAGAAGCCTATGGACTCCTTGAACACATGAGGTGAGATAATGTCAGATTATTAACCAAAACAAAGGTATTAGTGAGACTTTAACATGTTTATATCACAGAAGACTGTAGAAACATCTATCTGCTGATCTGAGTGTTTCATTAAATATCTGTGAGGTCAGGGCTTCTTACATTTACTCATTTATGACTCTGTTTTTACACATTTACATTTAATCTTTCTTATCTAAGACCAGTAATGTTTAGTTAAATCTTGGTTGTAGATATTCACATTCTTAGTTCTGATATTTTTAGTGCTTATTTACTTTGTAGTTAATATTATATTATGTTTAGATTTGCTAATATTGTTTTTTTTCCTCATATTGTGTGTTTGGACAACCTGCTGCTGTAACAACACAATTTCCCAGTTTGGGATCAATAAAGTAATTCTATTCTATTCTATTCTATTCTATTCTATTCTTATTCGTATTCGTATTCTTATTCATATTCATATTCTATTCTATTCTTATGCCTATTCTATTCTATTCTATTCTATTCTATTCTATTCTATTCTTATTCTTATTCTTATTCTTATTCTTATTCATATTCTATTCTTATGCCTATTCTATTCTATTCTATTCTATTCTATTCGTATTCGTATTCTTATTCTTATTCTTATTCTATTCTATTCTTATGCCTATTCTATTCTATTCGATTCGATTCTTCTTCTATTCTATTCTATTCTATTCTATTCTATTCTATTCTATTCTTATTCTGTTCTATTCTTATTCTATTCTATGCCTATTCTATTCCTATTCTATTCTATTCTATTCTATTCTATTCTATTCTATTCTATTCTATTCTATTCTTATGCCTATGCCTATTCGATTCTATTCTATTCTATTCTATTCTATTCTATTCTATTCTATTCTATTCTATTCTATTCTATGCCTATTCTATTCTATTCTATTCTATTATTATGCTTATTCTATTCTATTCCTATTCTATTCTATGCTATGCTATGCTATGCTATGCTATGCTATGCTATGCTATGCTATTCTATTCTATTCTATTCTATGCCTATTCTATTCTATTCTTATTCTATTCTATTCTATTCTATTCTATTCTATTCTATTCTATTCTATTCTATTCTATTCTAATCTATTCTATTATTATGCCTATTCTATTCTATTCTTATTCTATTCTATTCTATTCTATTCTATTCTATTCTATTCTATTCTAATCTATTCTATTATTATGCCTATTCTATTCTATTCTATTCTATTCTATTCTATTATTATGCCTATTCTATTCTATTCTATTCTATTCTATTCTATTCTATTCTATTCTATTCTATTATTATGCCTATTCTATTCTATTCTATTATTATGCCTATTCTATTCTATTCTATTCTATTCTATTCTATTCTTATTCTATTCTATTGTATTCTATGCTGTGCCATGCTAAAGACTCCATCCAGCTCATTTTGATACGTTTCTTTTACGTTACTTGGGCACGTTTAAAATTTTCAGTCTTCTGAAAAATGTGTTTGTTTTCATGCTGTGTTGTTCTGTAACTTGGTGTTTTTGTGTTTTGCCCTTCTGCGATGAATCTGAATGAAAATACTGAGTTTTTGAAAGTTTTGTAAACTTTTCTTTTAAAAAAAAATATAATTCTTAAATGTGGAAACGACCCCACTAAAGAAAACAATCTGTGAGTAAACAAAGGTAAACAAAGTGAACAGTGACATCAGAACGAGGGTGGTCAGTCGTCCTTGTTCAGTAAGAGAGGAGCACACCTCTGGAAGAAGACACGCTCATACCCCATGGTGGTTTATTTTACCCTCCTATTATATCAAAGAAGTATTTCTCCTCTTGAATCGTTCCATAACAAGTCTTCACTGTGTTTCTGTAGGCTCAACACTTTGTTCCTCTGATCCAAAAAAAACTCCCTTTGTATCAACCAGGAATCCTCCAGAGACTCACCTATCATCTCCACAGAAAGAAGTATTTAATTTGACTGCTCATGTATACAATCCCCCTCCCCCTCCCCCCCTCCTCCCCCCTCCCCCTCCTCCTTCCTCTCCAGCACCGTTAAACCTAAACTGGCCACCATAGAGGAAATGGCTAAATTCCACACAGACTCTTACCTGGAGCATCTTCACAAGATCAGCCAGGACGGAGACAACGACGACCCCCAGTCGTCCGACTACGGCCTGGGTGAGAACAGACAAGAATCCCTTCTTTTTAACATCGAACAAATAAATGACTATCTGTGAATTCTATCTCTGTCAGGATCAAGTTTAATTTCCAGTCATTAAGTCTGTTCCCTCATAGGAGATTTATTTGAAGCATTTTTTTTTCTCTGGTCCAAACAAATCCAGAGCATTCAGGAACAGAATCTAAAGTTAGAAGGAGGACATACTGGCTGCTGTGTTGTTGTCAGAGAAGCACTTCAACATGTTTCCTTCATGATCAGATAGTGAGGTCACTTTATCTTTCAGTCAGTAGAGATCTGTGTTGAATTCTGCACATTTATAGTCTCAGCACTGAAGTGTTTGATCTGACCTTATCTCCGCTTGTTGTTCGTTTCATTTTAATATGAAAAGTGGAGGGTAAACAGCCGGGGGGAAAAGCTGCAGTTTAAAAAAAAAAAAAAACTTCATGCCGTGTTTAATTGTCTCCACCAGAGGGCGCTGTATCGCAAAATGAAAGAAACAACAACAATGTATCTCCTCCAAAGAGAAAACACAAACAGAGGTTTTTAATCAACTTAAATATAAATCATGTTGCTCTCCTTTTTCATGATGTTTGTTTACTTTAGTTAAATAAAAGGAGCCCCCCCCCCCCCCTCTGAACTGGGTGGGATCTCCTTAAAAAATCCACCGAAGTTGTTTTTCTTGGATGGACTCATTCAAAGTCCGCCTTTCCCCGACGTTTATATTTCTGACTTGAGACTTATCCTCAAGTTCACCCATCTCTCCTCTTCATCTCTCCTCTTCATGTCTCCTCTTCATCTCTCCTCTCCTCTTCATGTCTCCTCTTCATCTCTCCTCTTCATCTCTCCTCTTCATGTCTCCTCTTCATCTCTCCGCTCCTCTTCATGTCTCCTCTTCATCTCTCCTCTTCATCTCTCCTCTTCATGTCTCCTCTTCATCTCTCCTCTTCATGTCTGCTTTTCATCTCTCCTCTCCTCTTCATGTCTCCTCTTCAAGTCTCCTCTCCTCTTCATGTCTCCTCTTCATGTCTCCTCTCCTCTTCATGTCTCCTCTTCATGTCTCCTCTCCTCTTCATGTCTCCTCTTCATGTCTGCTTTTCATGTCTCCTCTCCTCTTCATCTCTCCTCTTCATCTCTCCTCTTCATGTCTCCTCTTCATGTCTCCTCTTCATGTCTCCTCTTCATGTCTCCTCTTCATCTCTCCTCTTCATGTCTCCTTTTCATCTCTCCTCTTCATGTCTCCTCTCCTATTCATCTCTCCTCTTCATCTCTCCTCTCCTCTTCATGTCTCCTCTTCATCTCTCCTCTCCTCTTCATGTCTCCTCTTCATGTCTCCTCTTCATGTCTCCTCTTCATCTCTCTTCTCCTCTTCATCTCTCCTCTTCATCTCTCCTCTTCATCTCTCCTCTTCATCTCTCCTCTTCATCTCTCCTCTTCATGTCTCCTCTCCTCTTCATGTCTGCTCTTCATCTCTCCTCTTCATCTCTCCTCTTCATCGCTCCTCTTCATCTCTCCTCTTCATGTCTCCTCTTCATCTCTCCTCTTCATCTCTCCTCTTCATGTCTCCTCTTCATGTCTCCTTTTCATCTCTCCTCTTCATCTCTCCTTTTCATCTCTCCTCTTCATCTCTCCTCTTCATCTCTCCTCTTCATGTCTCCTCTTCATGTCTCCTCTTCATGCCTCCTCTTCATCTCTCCTCTTCATGTCTCCTCTCTCCTCTTCATCATAGATTCTTCTGTTTCCTTGTTTAGTGTTCACTTTGTTTGTTTGTCTTCCTCCAGGTTACGACTGCCCGGTGGTGGAGGGGATCTATGACTATGCAGCAGCAGTAGGGGGCGCCACACTCACAGGAGCCCAGTGTTTGAACGAGCAGAAGTGTGACGTGTCTATTAACTGGGCTGGAGGATGGCACCATGCCAAGAAGTAAGTCAGCATGTTCTGAACCCGGAGTGTTAATGCAGATGTTAGATCATGTTGTCCTGAAGGGGGCGCTCCAGGCAAAGGTCAGACTATAAAACCCTTTCTCTTCTCTCTCTTCTCTCTCTCTCTCAGGGATGAGGCGTCAGGTTTCTGTTATGTGAACGATGCCGTGTTGGGAATCCTCAGACTGAGGGAGAAGTACGAGCGAGTCCTCTACGTGGACGTCGACCTGCATCACGGAGACGGTACACAAACAAACAAAAACCAACAAACAAGAAAGAAATATGAAACACAATTTGAAATGTAGAGTCTGGAACAAGGATAACACACAGTTAAAAATAACAATATTCAGTTTGAGGAAGTATCATCAAAGTCATCAAACCTGGAGTAATAGATGACATCACTGCCCCCCCCCCCCCCCCCCCCTGCAGGTGTAGAAGATGCTTTCAGCTTCACATCCAAAGTCATGACCGTCTCTCTGCACAAGTTCTCTCCTGGATTCTTCCCAGGTCGGTCTCTTCACTTTGTTTCATGTTCAACATGTTTCACTGCAGTGTTTAATAACACGGTGTGTGTGTGTGTGTTTGTTTAGGCACAGGCGACCTGAGCGACACGGGGCTGGGGAAAGGCAGGTGGTACGCCGTGAACGTCCCGATGGAGGACGGCATCAAGGACGACAGATACTTCCAGATTTTCACCAGGTAGAGTGTCGACTCAGGAACTCCCCCTGTGCAGCTCTGAAGGGACGTTTCTCTCCAGGATCCCTGAGGATGAAGTCTTTGTTTCTCCACCCAGAGATCAGAAGTCAGGGTCATCCATAGAGATCTGCCTTAGAGCTAATGCTGACTCAGCGTTTTATTCAGGACCCTTCAGCCCCGGGATTCCTTCCATCATGAGAGCTTAAACTCAGGATTGCAAACTTAAGCGTTAACTCAGTGTTTGGACACTTAAGTTTGAAGCATGCATCCTGTAGTTTGACCAGTTTTTCTAGATTAATGTTTCATCCAATCACAGGAAGGAAAACCTGTGACATCATGTTGAACTATAGTCTCCCTTTTAACTCAAAGCTTTTGGTTCTGAGGCATTAAACATCTATTTTTGAGCAATGATAAAGAGAGTGCTACGAGTAGCAGTCGTCTTAGTCTTGCCTGATTGGCTGAGACACCTGTCAATCAACTTCATATATAAACCAATCAACTCCAAACACGACCTGACCTCTTTTTTTCCAGAGTTTCGACAAACACGAGCAGGAAAACAAAATGTTTACTGGTGTTTTTTTTGTTTGTGTTTTTTTGCAGTGTGATGCAGGAAGTGCGGGCGCAGTTCAACCCGGAGGCGATCGTGATGCAGCTGGGCGCCGACACCATGGCGGGCGACCCCATGTGCTCCTTCAACATGACCCCTGTGGGGGTGGGCAAGTGTCTGCAGTACGTCTTAGGCTGGCAGCTACCCACACTGCTGCTGGGAGGAGGTACGCTAAACGAGTGTGTGTTTATTATTCTGTGCGTGCGTGCGTGCGTGCGTGCGTGCGTGCGTGCGTGCGTGCGTGCGTGCATGCGATACCCCCATGAAGAGATAGATGATGTACCAAGAACTTTATTGTGTTTGTACTTTTTTTAAATTAGTTGATTCACTTACAAAATTACACACACACACACACACACACATATATATGGATGTACACACACACACACACACACACACACACACACACACATATATATGGATGTACACACACATGTAAACACACACACCATGCTCTGTTCCAGACCCCTCAGCCCTCGGCCAGATGATCGCTTCTACTTACACGACACAATGAAGCTATTTTACTCCACTACAATCCCACCTCTCTTCCTGTCTCTCTCTCTCTCTCTCGCCCTTTCTCTCTCTGTCCCACATACTTTCTCTCTCTCTGTTATATTCTCCTCTATGTCTTCGGTTCTTCATTTTCCTCAAGTCCATCCTCTTCTTCCGTCTCCATCTTTTAAGAGTCACACCCGAATCAACACATTTGTGAGAATCAATCCATCACATATTTTTAGATTCACCATCAGCTGTCTGTCGGGGTTGTGAGCCGCCTTCAGACAAACTTTGGTGGGTGGGTCTTGTTTACAGCAGAAAAAAGAGAGAGCGGGCCGCACACTGTTCAGCTGTCAATCCAGAGGCTCGTCCTCAGGCTCTGATTGGCTCATTGGGATCTGAACCCTCATTATCTGTCTTCCTTTTTGTCACCAGGGGGCTATAACCTGGCTAACACGGCTCGTTGTTGGACCTACCTGACCGCCGTGGTGCTGGGAAAGACTCTGTCCTCGGAGATACCAGACCACGAGGTACGACCACACACACACACACACACACACACACACACACACACACACACACACACACACACACACACACACACACACACACACACACACACACACACACTACTGCCTACATGAACACAAACGCGCTCATTCATCGTACGGTCACACAAAATCACGACCAGCACGCACACGCACGAAAACCACAAACACACCCCCCCCTTGTGTTCACTGTCTGCTGAGTCACGCCATCTAATCAAAGATGGCCGCCCGCTTCTCAATAAAGGGGTCTGTCTTCAGGTGAGTCAGACTGTGTGTGTGTGTGTGTGTGTGTGTGTGTGTGTGTGTGTGTGTGTGTGTGTGTGAAGGAGAAGGGTACAGGTGATGACAAATCCTCTCAGCCCCCCCCCCCATCTAAAGAGTCCTCTCTCTCTCTCTCATTTAGCAGAAAGGTGATGTGTTTTTTTTACAGTGTAGTTGAGTCAGGAAACAGTTCAAAGAGAAGCCGTTTTCACATCTGCACTTTGGATAATATCTAGATATTTACAGGAGGACTTCTCCGGAGATTCTCCCGACCTAGTCGTTCACATATGCTCCTCTCAGTGGGGGACTTTCCCTGTCGGGGGGTCGGGGGGATTTCCTGAGGTAAGACGTGACGTAAATAAACAATGTGGAAGTAGTGGCCGAAGCAACAGAGTCCGCTACACGACGTTATAATGAGAATATTTACCTTCATATCAATGCTACGTGTAATCCAAGAGAGGAGAACAACATACTGACGAACAGAAAACAGAATGCAGCAGGTTCATTACGTGCACGGAGATCGTAGAGGTCGCGTGTAGACACTTTAGCCGGTCACTATATAAACATCACTCGGGTCCCATTGGCTCAAATTGAAAATCTCCGGAGTATATTCTCTGTGATTTTCTGTGGATAAAATACGAGGGTCTGGCCGGAGAAACTCCGGGTAAAGTCTGCTTGAAAAATGCGTCTGTTTGTGTTCACACATAGCCTAAAAACCTCCGGGGAGCCAAATCTCTGGAGTTTTTCAGGAGTATGTGTGAAAAGGGTTAGAGAGAGGAACTCAGTGAGTACGGTTACAGGCAGTTAAAAATAGTCGATTTCTTGTGTCAGTCTACACACAACACAACACAACACAACACAACACAACACACACCTACACAACAGGATTTCTCTGATTGTGAACATTGAATAGGTTCATTTTTAAGATTTCAAATCGGGGGGGTCCCTGATCGTCTTCTGAGCTGATCGGGGAGACGTTTAAAATCACTCTCAACACGCCTCACACCTCAGGAGTGAAGATAATCTTTAGATCCATCAGATAGTCGGAGCCTTTGCTGACTTTGGTCTGTAGGGGGGGGAAACAGGAGCATTGAGCCCAGGTACTCTCAGCCCGGCTGATTGGACAGCCACACCTACAAATTACAAAAGAGAAGGCACAACCAGGGCCGTCACATAAACACACACATAATACACATTTTTTCTATATTATTAAATGTACTTTCTTTCTTTTTGTAGTTGTTTTATTCTATAGTGGTGTTTAGTCCATGATTCTGTATTCACAGTCAACAGGCCGGTCAGTCCAAGTGGACCTGAGGTCACTGTGAATCATGTAAACACTGTAAGTGCAACTTAAGCTGCTCATTTTACTGTAATGAGGTCATGTGTGTGGACGTAAACAGATGTACCTACGGAGAGGGAAAAAAGGTCCCCAGTAATGAATGTTTGTAAAAAAAGAAAGGACGTCGTGTTTTTGTCTTCTTTGTGTCATTATGCTAACGGGGAAAAAAATCTAATAGAGCCTCATCCTCTCTCTCGACCCGTCTGTCTGTAGAGCTCAACACAAAGAGGCTCTTTCTCTACTCCGCTGATTTTTTGGACCTTGTCTTGGTCAAATGTAATGAATAGCTCTGAGTTAGCGTGCGTGTGTGTGTGTGTGTGTGTGTGTTTTGAGCGTGATGAAGGTACCTCTTGTTTCTCCTCGTCAGCATCCCGTGGCCCTAAATAGCCTTTGACCTCATTAAGCAGCACTCACTGAAAACAAAGCAACTATCAGTGCGGGGCAGCTGCCACAGATGATGAAGACGAGGACACACACACACACACACACACACACACACACACACACACACACACACACACACACTTCTTAAATCAGAAACGTAAGAAACAAACACACTAATAGCTTTTTCCTAACTTTGAATTCAAACCTCTTATCGGCTTCCTTTTTCCAATTTGGTGGCTCATATCGATCTTTTTTTCAAGGTCATCCGGTACTAAAGTTGAAGCACTGCACAACTTTAAACTATAATTAGTGTGTGTGTGTGTGTGTGTGTGTGTGTGTGTGTGTGTGTGTGTGTGTTCTTGGCCCTGTCTGTGCCCGTTGTGCTCGATAAGAGGGGCATTTATCCATGATGACCAAGCAAAGCTGGAGTTCCAGCGACACGGAACAAAAACTACCTTTGTGCCATTTTCTGTGTGTGTGTGTGTGTGTGTGTGTGTGTGTGTGTGTGTGTGTGTGTGTGTGTGTGTGTGTGTGTGTGTGTGTGTGTGTGTGTGTGTGTGTGTGTGTGTGTGTGTGTGTGTGCGTGTGTGTGTGTGTCCACTACTCTGCTGTACTGTAGACAAAAACCACATGAATGCACACATTCATCACAGTTAGATAATGTACAGGCCTGTTTTATAACTCTTTTTTTTCGTCTTTGTATGATTAATTGCCTTCAGCGTGGAGGAAACGAAGTGTTACTCGAGTGGGAAACTATTCGTTATGAAGCCGCAATCAGGGAAGCTCTTTTTTTTTGATTTATGAAAAAATTACCCAAGACAGTGGAAGGAAATTATCTGGGTTTTGTTTTCACTGTGTGGCCTTTTCAGATGTTTCCATGGAGTTGAATCTCTGGTGATTTTAAACCGTGGCTCTATTTGCTTGTTATGCCACTGACAGGCGCCGAGTGTTATCCAATTTTCAAACACAATTTTGGTGAAATTCCTGACAAAGACAGAGCCTCTTGTAATCATAACATCCTTTATTTAACCAGACACGGCCCATAAATTACTCTTATAGTTAAAAGACCAATCTGTAAGATATCCACTGAATCAGATGATAAAGTGACCTTACTATATGATCAGACTTTAAAGGCTTTATATGTGATTTTTCTCACTTAAATGTAGAAATCAAGTACATCCTCTGAAAATAACTGTGAGTCATGACTGTCTACAATGGGTGTAACACCCGAGTCCCACTGTCTGTGATGTTTTCAGAGTTTTCAGAGTCCTATCTTCACTTTGTTTACATCGCCAGGACAGCCGGCTGACTCCTCCCCTCGTGTATAAAAGTTGTTTGATTGAGGGACTAGAGAAAAGAAGAATAACATACTGTACTCACTGCTTAACTGTGTTTCTAGATCACGCTCATTTCAGGTAAATTTACATGCAGTGTGAAGATACCAGCATAATAAAGATCGCTAGCATTAGCATGCTAAAAAATCGCATATAAAGCCTTTAAAGATCCCAGAATTTCCCTTTAACTGACAAACGTCTGTCAAATTGAAATTTAAGAAGTATGGAGGCCATTTTTTTTTTTTTTCTTTTTGGGAACATCTAAAAACAGTCTCTTAGTTTGTTTGTCTTGTGAAATCCATCCAACAAGTTTTAGTTTTTTAGCCCATACAAACCCCTCAGACTTAATGTTTAAGAATAGCAGTCTAAGAAACACAAACATCAATCAGACTCTGCCAGTACAATAGTGCTGTAATATCCCTCTGATTACCAGAACCCAAAATATGACACCGCAGATAACCCAACACAATGGCCCTGCTTCTTGTCAAACGTGTTCAACTTTCAATATCTTATAAAAACACGAGTAAAAGCGCCTTTTGTTGTTTGAACCGGGGAATCAAGCTGCAGGATCGAAAGTCATTAACCTTCCCCGTTGACTTGTATTGTCTGGTAGCGGTTAGCTGATCCTTTTTGACCCCCCTCATTGTGTGACGGCGGCGGAGACAATCTGCGTGTGAATCAGAGGGTAACAACATGGGACTGTCTTAAAATAGCCAGAGGTCAAAGATCAGTTTGTGTTACTGATTGGCGGACCATTGGGATTGCTTTTATAACCTCGTGCGGGGAAATATCTATTTTTCTTTGAAACCCTCCAAGAACGTTTGTGTCTGCATGTTGTCCCTTTTTAAGAGGTTCAAATTCAGTGTCAGGGCAGCTAGGAGCAAAAGGAATCTTGGAAAGTGAAATGTTTGTGATGCTATGGGAAAAGAGAGAGGACAAGAAGTCCCATTACTTTGGTTCTGAAGTTTATTTTGAATTTCCTCCTTTTTTTTTAAGAGGAAAAAAGCCAGAAAAACATTTCTGTGGCCCGACCCGAGTGGTCACATTATTTACCTTGTCCTGGTATGGTAAACCTCGCGGATCTTTGGGAGTCAAGGAGGATTAAAGTAATCACAATAAGTGGATAAATATTTGTGCCTAAGGCTCTGTTCACATCCCAATACCACATCGCATGGTGGAGCAACTAATGCCTCTAATCGCTCAGTTGGAGAGTCAATTGTCTTCAACTGGAAGGTTGGGGGTTCGATCCCCAGCTCCTGCAGCTACATAACTGAAGTCTCCTTTGGCAAGACGCTTAACCTCCAGTTGCTCTGCCATCAGTGTGTGAATGTGAAGGTGTGAGTAGTCAGAAACCTAGGAAAGAGCTGTACAAACTCAAGTCTATTTACCATTTACCATGACTCCATTTAAAATTCTTCAAATGAAACAGGATTACAAATGTGATGAACTAGATCAACTATTGACATTCAGCGACAAATCACAATTAATTAATAATAATTTTCCTGTTCTATAAAAAAAACATTTTTATGCTTGTGTAAATATTAGCTTGTTAGCATAGCAACATTCAGACTGTCATTATTAACGGTTAATTGTGACTGTAATGCCTTTTAAGCATCCTGTCGAGCTACATTGACTTCATTGACTAATCAGAAATAAGTTATTGT